GTGTGTGTGTGTGTGTGTGTGTGTGTGTGTGTGTGTGTGTGTGTGCGTGCATGCATGGAGTTCATAACAGCCTATTAAATGTTTGAAATGAAATCTTCATACTATTCGATAAAGAAAAATTACCATACAGTGATGAAAAGGCTGATAAAATGAAGAAAGTAAAGAGTAAAACATATTGAGAAGTAAATAAAAGTTAGGGGAATTCATTCACTTGAAGTTAAACGAACCAGGACGAACCTTGCTAGGGGTTTGATGAGGTAAGTTTGGGTTTTCGATGTTGGAAAGGTGGTTCATTTACCTTGTTGCGTCGCCACGGTAACTTCTGCTGAATACCTTACCTGCTCTGGAGCTGATTAAGTTTGCGATCAACACATACTAACTCAGTGCCTCTCGACTTTTCCTGGAAAGCATCATCACCATTCCTGGAAGAGCTCGCGGACGTCGACGCACCAAAGTTTTCTCCCTAACGAGCTCAGCCATCTGCCGTGACAGGTTAGGGGTGAGAGGGAGACAGGACAAAAGAGACGCTGTGGAAGGGAAACAGAGATTAATAATAACTCATGGTTAAATGCAGAGTGGTGTATGAATGCATAGAGTGTGAAAAAAGGTGAGTGAAGAAGAAACTTTGCTAAGAGCAACATGGGAAGACCTCAGCAGCCTAGGCTTACTCCAGCGTAACTAAGGGAGGGTTCAGGGTCACCTGATCTGGCTCAAACTATAAAAAACAACATTTTTAAGCCTAATCTTAAAACTAAAGAGGGTGTCTGTAAAGATGTTTAAATATTTTTAAATAGGCTTTATTAATATAGTGCTTTTCCCGTCTTTGTGACCACAGCAAGGAAAGTGCATATATAAATTCATATAGCATTTTTTTTATCACTATACTGCTGCACAGACCTTTCCTATTATGCTCATATCACCTCTCAGACATTGTTGCTTTGTTACAGTGCTGGCATTCTTGTACTTGTGTGTTTAACCTCCTATATAATGCATTGCTTTTTGCTTTGTGAAGCATACCATTGTTCTTCCAGTAGCTCTGTCTTAGACCATATTTGTGTTATATGCTGAAAATAACCAATATATACATGTAGACTGTATCTGAGCAATGCGGAGGGAAATGCCTTACAAATGAGCTCATTAGAGTACTCTGGTTACTTTGTTGTCCAATCAGCCTCAAAAACTGTTACTTTTTCATATTAGCTATTTGTAACTGTTGCACCATATTTCCTATGTTTCTTTTGTTTCTACCAACAGCATGCACAGGTGCATTTGTACTAGTGTTCAGTATTCATTCTTAACTTGTGACATTGTTCCACTGAGACACAAGTGTAAGAGAAATGAAGATGTATCCTTGGCCGATAATGAATGTTTGTCAGCTGCGGCTTTACATCAAATATGTAGAAGCACACCTGCAAGTCAAGCACAGCTCAACAAGACTGGTGGGGGAGCCCACTGAGGAGGAGGAGTGCTGCACCAAAGGCTAGTTAGCTCAGCAAAGTTCAGCTAAGGCTGGAGCTCAATCTGCTCACTCTACCACCTGAGCCACCAACATTACCTAACACTGAATATAACCTATTATATAATGTAATATAACTTTAATATAATGTCCATATCCAAATGATAGTTTGAATCATATAAAGATTAAATACTGACCTGCTGGTTGTTACCTTTACCATTTAGCCTCAAATATATTTTGTTTAATGCCGCTAAGCAAATGTCTCATCACTGTGAGTGCTGACAGCATACAGAAGTTAAGATTACGCCATAAGCACCACGTTGGTTTTGTATCACCGCTTAGAAGGTCATGTAGTCTAGTTTTATACACAAAACTTTTAATTCAGTTAAAAAATATATTTTGCTCATCTGTAATTACTGGGCACTCTAGAAAATAAGCAAAGCTTAGAGGATCACCACTCTCGCTCCTTTCCTTTCACCCTTCTCTCACATACAATCAGCACAGACACAAAAGAAAGAAGGGCATGAAATTAATTAAGCAATACAGTATAGTGCAAGTTTGCAAGCTTCAAACAGCACTGTACATGTCAGTCTTTAAATTCAGCATTTGGCTCATTTTATTCTATCTATTCTATCCTAATCCAACTGTATCCTCGCATGCTGATTGGTTTGGGCTACGGGCTGTTTTTGTTGATATGTGGATCATAACGCGCACATGGAAGAAAACTCCCGTGCTCCAAACCATCTGAAAAATATTACAGTAAATTCTCCATTTACTGAAAGGGGCCGACTTATCATTATTCCACACTGGAAGATTTTTTTTAGTTAGCTAAATGACAGGAACAAATCCAGGGCTGTACAAAGGTTTTAAAAGCCACAGTGCAACCATGCGGGCCCAGCAACGGACACACATGCCCCAAAAGTGAAATTTGCCAGAGTGTACAAAGTCTGAAATAGATGGGGTTGTGCAGACATAGCAAGTAGTGCACAGATGTTCCAAAAATTGCTTGAGTCATAAAATATAGTGTGTGAATAAACAAATAACAGGTAGAGGTTAGCAAAGTTAGATGGGCTAGCTCCTGAAGTGACGGGACTCTGTGTTAATGATCTACCGCCACCAACTGCAGGAAAGTTTTTGGAACAGATGGTTACCGTAGTGTGGTAGCTGGTGGCAGTCCTCCTTGCCTTTTTTCATCTCCCGACTGCCACATATTTCCTTGATGGACGGCCACAAGCAGCCAGTGACCCGCTAAGCAGAGAAGCCAAAACCTGCTCGAGCATTTCTTCTTCAGCAGAGATCGAGGTGAGGCAGAGGTGGACTAGGCTGTAATGGTATACTGGAGACAGAAAGCGAGAGAGAGAGAAGGTGTTTTTCTTTTTCTGTAAGAGAAACAAAGCTGCTGCTGAGCAGTACGAACCCGAGAGAAGGAGACGAGAAATTCCTCCCATCCCTCTGTCTTCTCTCCTCCTCCTCCCCAGTGGTATTAATTAGCAGCAGCAGATGAGTGGAGAACGGGAGCCTGCAGGGAGAACAGGTTCATGTCAGGTTAGCATAAGCTGTTGTGCCCCCCCCGTTTCTCTCACTCTCTCTCTTTCTTTTCCTTTTCCTACCCTCACAACACACACACACAAATACACACATAAACAATAGGGATTGTTATAAATTTAAGAAATATGATCTTCTCGTCTTTATGGCTAAAACCGAACGTGTACAAAAATGTGAGTTTTCATTAAGCCCAGCTTAAACTCCTCCTCCTCCCTCCAGTTTTACTCTGAACACAGCCTCTTGACATATTCAAAAAAACAAATCCAACCCTGTAGCACATCAAACGCACAACCACTGACATTATCACCCACCTCACGGTCATGGCGAATCATTGCCCTAGCATCCCTCTGTCTCGCTCCCTATCTTCGCTGAAATGCGCTCCAGCCTCCTGTTTTCAATCATCAGTTTCAGGAGCGTCTGGTACGCTTCGGCTTTAATCAATGGAGTCGTCTGCATCTGCACCGCAGCAGCCCGCATTTCACTCTTGTCTAACCGTGACCCGTAGTGTCTGTTTTTATTCGACACGGTACGGAGTAGAAAGCAGAGGACTCCTTTTGAAGGCCTTCGCTAATGTCGAGACCGAGGTTCTGGAGCCAGACCCGAGTGAAACCCAAGCTAAAGATAGTAAGACCAGATTCTAATCTGAGTGAAGAAAAACTTGCACTTTGGAAGGAGATGAAGGACATGGCAAGGTCCCATAATGGTTTTGCATTGGTTTCCAACAGTCTTGACAAAGGCTGGAAAAAGATAAAAGCTTCTGTTGCAGTGGACACTAATGAATAAGGCTGGCTGATAAATGGTGTTTCATCCTTAATGCAAAGCCAACATACAGCAGATATTTCACTAAAGATGCTGCATAACGCAGCAGACATTTATCCTTGTTCAATAAGAGCATGTTTAAAAAGCATACGTTTTATTTCTTTGTTTATCTATCTGTGCATATTGATGCGTCTTTGTGTGGGTATATGTAAAAGAAAAAGAAAGAAAAATAATAGGAACTGTGGAGCAAATGTGTAACCGTCATTACTATTAATGTTATCACACAATTCAGACTTTTCTCATATTCTCCAGCCCTTACTGTAGAATGAAAGCAGATTCAGAAAGTAACTGTAATATAGTCAGCATATTACAGTTTGCTTATTTAAAGAAAACGTGTAAAAGTGATGCCACTTTGTTACTACTTCATAATATTCTCTTCTTTTCTTCCTTTTTTCTCTCCCTCTGCAGAATTCTATACGACACAACTTGTCCTTGAACAAGTGTTTTCTCAAAGTGCCTCGCTCCAAAGACGACCCTGGAAAAGTAAGTATTTTCTCAACCTTATTGTGCGACTTAAAAAAAAGAAAGCTGGGTGGCGCACGGCGAAAATGTCGAGTGGGTTTCAGCAGGCTTTGCAAGTACGTGGCGACTTTTGACGTGTTTAGTAGCACTCGTGCCACATGTGTGAACACACTTGTGCTTAAGTGCTCACTTGCTCTGCTTCTTTGTCACACACACACAGTGTCTGCGGTTAAAAGCAATTTGTAACTCCATAACCGGCTGTGCTGAATGCCTAATGCTGCTTTCTCTGTTTTCTGTGGCTCCTACGATATTGATTCTGCCAAGTAATAATGTGGTACAGGGAGTAATGAATAATAAGTATATGTAGGTACTCTCCCTCAGATGCAAGGCCTTCCATGCATCTGTTATGCTTTATTAGAACTGCTTCTCTCTGTATCTCGCAGACACAATCAGAGGAAGCTTTAGATATGTTTCACTCCTGCTGCTGCTGCTGTGGTTAGGAAGCAGCGTTGCCACGGCCACTTCAGCAACTCCAGTTTGATAACAACAATTTGTCAAGTGCTTGGTTGTGCTGAGATCGAAGGACATGCTCAGATGGGGAAAGTGTATAATTGCAGCTGATCACTGAACCCTGTCCTTATGCCATATTTTTAATACGAGCTCAAACTCATCACAAGGTTAATGTTAGAGGCGATCCGCCACTTTTACACAAAACTGAGGAGCCAAACTTTTCAATGAGCTCTTAAAAACTCTGCTCGTTTTGTTTAGGGGGTACGGTTGAGGTGGGGTTGGGGGAGCGGAGAGTTTCTCCCGGCTGCGGGGATTTTGGAGCCATTGAAAAATGAATTAGGGGGAAGAAGGTTTAAATAATTCAAACAAAATCCTTGGGCTTGAGTGGAGGCCTATAGTCTGCAAAGACACAAAGAGAGGGCCCCCCCCCCGATTAGCCTGACTTGGACCTGACCAGCACCTTAATTCACACCGTGGATCGAAGTGGTCGATACCTCGGCGTAGTGGTGGTGGGGTGGGAGGTCAGCTGTGTGTGTGTGTGTGTGTGTGTGTGTGTGTGTGTGTGTGTGTGTGTGTGTGTGTGGAGAAGCTGAATGTACATGCTCTGTTTGAAGCCACAGAGAGAGAGGAGAAGCTAAATCATGCATGTGCTAACGTTAATTGGCTGTGTACTGTTCAGTGATGTGGGACTGAGAGACAGGGGGAGGAGAAGAGGAAAGAATATGAGAGGTGGGGGGGAGATAGATGTTGAGAGTTGAGCTGTGTGCATGTGTGGCCTAGATGAACCTCCTGAATTCAGTCTGCAGCTTTGGACCTCCTTGGGAGGGAAGAGGCAAAATGAAAGGCTGGAAAAAAAAATTATACCGGAAGGAAATCTAGGAGCTAAAAGCAATTGATTTCCTCTTCTCTTATTGTATCTGTTTATTTTGGAGACTGCTGTGTTTTAACATTATGTATCAAAAGGATTTCGGTGGATTTTCTGGGGAAAGGATGCAGAAACGTGCACCACTGGAGAACTAAACCTAGAGAAAACTAATTTGATACTGGAAGAATAACAGATAAGTTGATGCTTTTGGATACTGTGGATGCGGCCATCTCACAGCACTTACTTTTTATTTAGTGACACTTACTGCCAGCATTATTTTGTAGAAGTAATAAAGAAGAAGCAACTAATAGATTCAGAGAAATAAATCCTGATTTATCTTGTAAGACATTGTGTTTTTGAAATCTAACATAATCTAAAACAGTTTGGGGAAAAAATAGGTGTAAACAGTGGCGAGTGGATCATATTTAATCCATGAGTTTTTGAGACTTCTCTATCATCAGTGTGATGTTTTATTAAGACTAACCCCCTTAAATGTTTTGTTTGTAAGATTAACTGTGAGCAGTAAATTTCAGTTTAAAAAAATTATAATTTTCTTGAAAATATTTCATGGTTTAGACTTTACAGAGTTAATTATCAGAACAATATAAAGATTTCAAATTCATAATAAAATATCTTGGCCTGCAGCAGCAGTTCAAATGTTTTTGAGCCAAAATCTTTGAGAAAATTAAAACTGGAGTTCACTTTGGTTTGAACATCAAACACTTGTTGGCTAGGTTGTTAGTCTAAAGCAGGGGGACTCCAGGCCTCGGGAGCCGGTGTCCTGCAGGATTTAAATGTGTCCTTGATCCAACACAGCTGATTTAAATGGCTAAATTACCTGCTCAACATGTCTTGAAGTTCTCCAGAGGCCTGGTAATGAACCAGTCATTTGATTCAGGTGTGTTGACCCAAGGTGATATCTAAAGCCTGCAGGACACTGGCCCTTGAGGCCTGGGGTTCTAAAAAGTTGCTTAAACAATAAAAAGTGTATTAACCAGTCATATTTACCAAGATTTAAAACTGATTTTGTAGCCACATCTGTGAAATTGTAGGTATTTTTCAATATTTGGCTTATTGATGGAGGGGTTTGCTCTATGATCAGTAATTGAGCATAATTAGGTAGGGCTGTTCGATATAACGATATATATCGGATAACAATATAAAAACGTCTATCGTTTCATTTTACGCTATCGTTTGTTTCGTGGCGTCGCAAAATAAGCTGTTTAGGGCAATATTTTTTCATCGTTTTGATGGTCACTGTAGTGGCTATATTAATTTCTTTAAGTTCTCTCTTTCTCTTATGTTTTATATAACCACACTACAGACGGACAAGCGCCTGTTTTTATTCGTTGCGGTTAGCAACAACGACGGTAACAGCATTGCGTGTTCGCTTGTTTATGTTCCACATAAACCTTTCACAATAAAGCTCAATATCCTGTTGAGACTTTTCAAAATAAACTGAATCACGTGAAAGAGCAGATTATTTAGGGATGAGAATTTAAAAAGAGCCGCCAGGTGCTAAAAAATAAACCATAGACTCAAACATTAGAACAGGCTTTTCCCCGCAGCACGCCGTGTAATAAATACTCACAGAGAAAACGGCGGCCTTTACAACTTATGTCTAAAAATGTATGGTTTCATGCATCGGTTAAAACACTTGACTCCAGGTACATGACGCCCAGCTGGAAACACTTCCCGCATGACGAGCTGCCCGAGATTCACAGAATTTACAGAAAATGTTACATCTTTGTGATTTATATCGTTATCGGATGATAGAATTCTTATATTGGGATATGAGATTTTGGTCATATCGCACAGCTCTATAATTAGGGCTATATTTGTTGCTGCTTGTACTGACTACATAACCTATGATGGGATGTTTATGTATAAATTAATCACTAATGTTATTTACTCTGTAAGCCGGATTCTCAGCTATCCCATTCTGTTTTATAAGCATGTAGAATATAGCATTAATATAATACTTTTGGCCACTAGTATATGATCAAAAGCATTGGTCTGCATCTCTTAATCCTTCAGTTGAAGAGGTTTCACTTTCTTTGCCACTGGTGCATAAAATCAAGCACCTAGCCATGTAGTCTGCATTTAAAAGCCTTTGTGAATGAAGAATGCTGTTCTAAAAAAGCTCACAGAATTCAAGTGTGGTACTGTGATAGCTACCACCATTGCAAGAAGTCAGTTTCAATTGACTGCCTCCTAGATATTCTACCACTAACTGTAACTGGTGTTGAAGAATTTAGGAACTACAGGAAGTGGCAGACCATGTAAGGTTACAGAGTGCTGCCAATCCATTCTATTTATATAGCACAAAATCATAACAACAGCAGCCTGAAGGTGCTTTATATTGTATAAGGTAAAGACTCTTTACTAATCCAAAGAAAACCCCAATAATTAGATGACCCCTTATGACAGGGGTGTCCAACTCCAGGCCTCAAGGGCCGGTGTCCTGCAGGTTTTACATATCACCCTGGGTCAACACACCTGAATCAAATGATTAGTCCATTGAAGGGCGATCGTGGCTCAAGAGTTGGGAGTTCGCCTTGTAATCGGAAGGTTGCCGGTTCGGTCATTGTGTCCTTGGGCAAGACACTTCACCCATTGCCTACTGGTGGTGGTCAGAGGCGCCAGTGTCCAGCAGCCTCGCCTCTGTCAGTGCGCCCCAGGGTGGCTGTGGCTACAATGCCAGCTTGCCATCACCAGTGTGTGAATGTGTGTGTGTGGTAATTTAGCCATTTAAATCAGCTGTGTTGGATCAAGGACACATCTAAAACCTGGATGTGTCCTTGATCCAACACAGCTTGGACACCCCTGCCTTATGAGCAAGCACTTTGGCAACAGTGGGAAGGGAAAACTCACCGAAAAAACCCAAACTCAGGGAGGGGCATTCAAGACAAAGTTTGAAGCTTTGGACAAACCTACAAAGCAACCAAACCACTGGAGAAAAACACACCAAAAAAACCCTTCCATCAAATATGTTTCTAATGTTTGTTTTACTGATGTTAATATTCAGGGTTCCTACTGGGCCATAGACACCAATCCTAAAGAAGACACGGTACCCAGCAGGCCAAAGAAGAGACCACGCTCTGGAGAACGAGTAAGTACACAAGTAGTTTGTATAATCCTGTTTTACCCACAAAAGGCTGATGGGGTATTGTTGTCACTCCGCCAGACAGATGGGTGGGTGGTCGGCGTGCAGCTTTGTAAATGTAATACTTTGAGAATGAGGTGACAGAATTTGGAAATTGATGCTTTAGGTGCATCTGCTAAAAGTCTCAGTGACATCTAGATCAAGATCAGAAATAAAGTTTTCTGAAAATCTTGTGAAGACAATAAATCGCTAAAGATTTTTCAAATCATACCATAGGTGCATCTACTAGGAGGCTGAGGGAACAGCTGGATGCCAGTGTTTCTGTTGTTGTTGTTTCGCTTGTTGTTTTAAAAGTCGTACCAAATGACTTCTCTAAGGATTTATTTCATTCCATATTCTCAAACCTGTGACCCCTTTAAGGTGCTAATATCAAAGTTAGACATCATCAGAGGAGAAGAAAAATGGGATTTTGCTGATGATTCGAGCATTGTTGTAAAATGTCTGAAAAGAGAATTATATGAACAGGAAAAACAAGGCATTTGAAAAAGCTTCCCAATACAAATGAGGTGCTACAGAAATGTGTGAACAGGTTTGCAGTCTTTCTCCTGTTCCCATGTTATAATGATGCGTGGACAGACTAGCAGTCCAATAATGTACCTTTAAACCTCCCCTGAAAGATGAGTGTAAGAGCCCTCAGCGGTACTAGTAGCTCTGTGAGAATTGACGTCTCTTTAGCTTGTTAGGAAGCTAACATTAGCTTATTTGCACAAAAAAGCATGTCAGTGTTGGCTGTCAGGTATCGTGTGGACCACGTGATAGGAGATTACCAAATGTCAAATACAGCCATATTGTGCCAGACCATCAAGTTCTACTTCAGATATTTCTCTCAAAACCACATCTCACTCAAAGGCCAGGGGATCATCGCAGGCAGCAGGCTTCAACATCTGGTGACCATAAATCACTGCATAGTACCTCAGAGACCAAAAGATGTGGATTATCTTGTCATCGCTTGCTTTACCTCCTCCTAAATGCAGCCCAAAGTATCTTTTTACCCTTCAAGTCAATTTTCTTCTTTCTGCTGCTCATAACTACAGTGATTGTGCGCTGTGCTCGAACGCCTCGTGTCTACTCACAGATGGAGGGCTGAAGCTGCTGAGTGGACACGGTGTAACACCTTGTCTACACAAGAGGCACAGCATGAGCAGCATATTCGATGCCGCAGCAATGTAGGAAAAAACACACTTTCTTTTGTGTAATTATTACATTTTAAAGCCACAAAGTACCAAACTTTATCCGCTTTTTGTTTTGTTTTTTTCCTCTGTGGGTTATTCTTGCTGTGCACTGCTCGATTGTTATTGACGAACTTATTACTGCGCTCTAGCGCAGGAGAATGCCCGATCACCGGTGCGCGTGCCTTCTTTGTAACAGAACCAGAGCCTATGGTTGCAATTAAACAACTTTTTGATATTCATCCTCATATTCATCCAGGTTAATCCCACAGGCTTTGGGGTTAGCAATTTTCAAGATGCCATAAAAGCAGCAGGAACAAGCTACCAGATAGATGTGAGAATACAGAAGCAGGAATGAAAATTGGTTTTGGGAAATTGATTGACAGCAGCTGAGGCTATAAATATATGTAACCCTGCATCAACTTGGCAGAATGCGGCTGGTGTGCAGTCATTAACCTGGGGATGTGAATACAAAAGCAGTGCGGAGTGAGCTCCATCGTGTATTTCAAGTCTGCTTTCACCACTGTCTGCCATCATCTCTCTGTTTTTTGTTTTTTTCCTGACTCTGACTACAGTATGGTGTGCATTTCGATGTCTGTTTTCTTAGCGGCTGATTAGCACGCTCATAAACTAGTGTCGGCGGTTAATGGCCAAAATTTTAATACGGTTCAGATTCAGTATTCAGCACATTAAACAGATTGAATTCCTCTCTGATTATTACCTCAGCGGCTTAAATGAACTGTGCTCCCCTGGCAAAGGGATGCGTACTAAAACTGCTGCCGTCTGACACAAAGACTTGTAGTCAGTCACAAACGAATACAAAATAAAACATTTAAATGGCTTCAGTTCAGTGATATGAGATCTGGTGACATGCAATATCATTACTAGGCTCTGGATAACATGGCATTACTTCTCCCCGAAGCCAGAATGAGGCCACCAATTAGTGTAATCAGCTGGTGTAGTGGACCAAGCAGAAGATCTCCCAAAGTCTATTTCACAGGGGTGAGGTGTACCTCCAGTGTGCAGGTATATATTGTATTAAGCAGATGATCCTCTGAATGTTGCATTAAAGAAAATACGGCGTCTTTTATCACGATCATCCGCCTCCCTTTCTCATCCAGCCAGTCTCTGACTGTTGGCGCATCTTGATCATTATCTTTCGCTTCGTCCGTCTGCATTTCTGCTTTAGCCATCTTCCTCTCTGGGGAACTCTGACAGGCGCAGCGCGACAAAGTGCACAATCACTGTAAGGTGTCGCTCATTGGAGAAAGAATCGAGGCAAAAGAGACGGAAAGGGTTGGGGAGGTACAAGAGAGGGGAAGAGCAGAAAGGAAGCGTGAAAGGAAGGTTGCGGAAAGCAGGAAAAAGACATCAAGGTAGCGAGAAGAAACAGTCAAGTTTAAGGGAAGGAAAAAGAGGTAAGAGGAGTAAGTGGGAGAGGAGGGAGGAGGGAAAGTGTTCTAGGCTTGTGTTCCAGTTAATTACCACAGAAGGCCCCAGGGCTGCCGTTAGACATATTTTCTTCACCAACGATTTTTTTTTTTTATTACAAACATTAATTAATTCAGAGCCTTGTCATCTCGTCTTACATGGATGGGCCCTTTGACCCCTTTTCTTACGCCTCACTTGCACTGCTGGCAGACACACTGTGGGCTGTCACATGGGCTAAGGAGAAACAGGGAGGTTTTAAGTGCTAAGATTTATGGCGGCATTACCATCTGAAAAAAAGAAAAAGAAAGAAAGGTGGGCTAAATACATCTTGTGTGTTAACTGGGATTTTGTTGCACCTCGGTTACACAGTCAAATATTTTAAGTTGGCAGGAAGGGCTAAACGTCAACCGCATAAATGCATTGTATAAATGTGTAGACAGGCAAGTGTACACGTAGTTTAGTACCTGTGTCTCCAGTGCCCTTAAGCATAATCACTCTCTTTCATTTCTGGTAGATGCTTCTCTGTTTGCCTGTCTGTCTGTCTGCCCGTCTGTCACCACTCAATTATCTCCCTGCCTATTCTTCTATTCTGCTCTTCCTCCACAAGCCTTCCTCCTGCCTCTCTTCACCTCTCTCTTGTCTTCTTTTTAAGTGCCTCCACCAGGGAACCGACAACCCGTTTAGCTGGGAGTTTATCATAAATTAAAGATTGCATTGTTACCAACCAATCCTCTTACTGTAAGCAGTTTGGGAAGGCAGGCAAGCTGTCTTGAACCCTGAAAGGAGTCAGACAAGGAGAAAAAAACATCTTCCCCGGGTTTCTTTTTTTGTTGTTGTTGTTTTTTTCTCTCTCTCTCTCTCTCTCTCTCTCCTTTTTTTTCTTCTTCATTTGGCAGGCATCAATTTAGCCCCTCATCGATCTTTGAATAGTTCCTCACGTCCTCACACTCAGTTAACCCTACTTTAGCGCTTTGTGAGGACAGCAGCAGAAAATGAACTGCTGCTGAATGCATTATAGGTACGTGAATAATGCATGAGGATGGCTTGATTCATCTTATCAAGTGCAAGTGATGTGTCCACTTTCCAGGCTGTTTAAGTGTCCCGCAATTTAAATGAAGCGCGCCTCGACTAGTTCACACAGTGTGAGCCTGGGGCGTGATGGTGATTCAGGAGGCTCAGTGAAGAATCATGAACTTGCAGCACACTTAGATTTCTCATAACCTTTGTCACATTTCATTTCCGTCCTCGTTTTCAAACTCCTCTGGACATTTTCAATCAGCGGAGAGCATCCACGAATGATTTCTGCATAATAACTAGAAGGCGAGACTCTACTGTTTAAAAAAATATTAGTGCACCCCTTTATACTAATATTTAAAACGATCTTGAAAATGTGTACATTTGGAAATGGTGCTTTCGCGCCGCAGTGTGGACTGCAAAAATGCCAACTTTCTAAAACGATGACGCATGTTAGTCATATGATGCAGTCATGTGACCAATTAAACTAAGAAAGCGGAGGGCATTATACAAACAATTGTTTTGTTTGCTCTCAGTTTGGACAGCCCTATTAAAGATTAATATCAGTCTGTAAATGCTCCAGATAGCTTTTCTTCAAATTCTTTAACTCTCACTCGCTTTTGCAACTTTGTACTTTTGTGTTACTCGCAGCATCAACTCCACCTCATTGTTAGTCCATTTAAAAAACTCGGTGCTTTTCCTCAACCCTTTGCCGCGACGTTTCAAAGAGCCGGAAAGTAAATAAACAGCAGACAGAAATGAGGCAGGTCGAATCTTCTTGCGTTTCACACATGCGCAGTGCTGGAACGTAAGCGTTTTCGGCCGTTTCCCCAATGAAAACGCCGTTTTCAAATCCATCCGGGCTAGTGTGGACGTAGCCTTACTTACACGTTTAATCAAGATGTAAGTAAGAGTAATCTTTAATAAGGCAAAAACAGAGTTTGTACAATTGTACAGTTTTGTATGACCACCTTTATTCTTCAACACAGTCTAAAGTCTCTTAGACAAGCTTTCTTATAGTTTCTTTAAGTAGTCTTCAGGAACAATTGAAGACTAGATAAGATCCCCAACACCACTGGCTGAAAGGCAAACCTGAACCTTGACAGAGCCTCCACAGTGCTTCACAGGTGACTCTTTTACCTGTTGTGCCTGTCTGCTGACCTCCTTCTATTTGGATCCATCACCTGTTGTCATCAGTTTCCCTTCTTTAACCTAAAGAAAACCTAACCTGTTGCTGGGATCAGACTGGTATTCTGCAATGTTTTTTCAACATCTGTATCTCCCGTAACTCCTGAACTATTTGCTCAATTGAAAGAATTCCAGCATTTCCTAAAAGCAGCATTTTGCATTGAAATTAGAGTCATTACGGTAATCACAGGCACGATGTCGCAGCAGCCCAGCGAAGACGAAGATTGGTTGAGAAAGGAGAGAGACGCTAATATCACTGAAAAAGCATAGAGTTGCTGCTTTCAGATGAACAGCTTTATATCCAGTTTCCTCAGTTTTGTAATTGCACGACATACCATGCCAAGATTTCAGCTAATAGCTCTTTGGGAATCACCTTGTTGGTGAAAAAAATATTATTTTATGCCTTTTTTGTGTTTAAGTGATTCATTGGTCAGTGAGCGAAAAAGCAGCCAGTGGCCAAAGAAAGAAACTTTGAAATACCTTCAGAAAGCTTAGAGAACTGTTGTTTAAGACCACTTTAAAAAATGACAAAAAGCTCAAAGCCTATGCTCAGTACTGTACCTGCCACAACACAGTGTAACGTGTGGTGAACCTGAAAGGGGTACAACCTGCATCTTTAGTGTTAAAGAATGCTTCACATATCTCCACCTTAAAAAGTTGCTTTCCTCCTGCATTTTTTCATTCTCTGTTATAACCCCCTTTCAAAAGATGAGCACAGGCTAGAGATAAGCCAGGGCTGACTTTTGGCTTCATAGGGAATTCAAACCCATTGCACCAACGCTGAACGTTTTTCTGTTTTTTGTTTTTTGTTTTTTTTTGCTCTTAAGACTACTTACCTTTTCTGGTCAGAAAATGCACAATTAGCCAAAGTCTCTTGTGGGTGCAAGATTTTCTAAAGCTTAATAAAGAGTATTTGCAGAAATTCCCTTCACTTACAATGCTGCAAGGTTGATGTAGCTTTCTTTTTTTGCCCGGTGACACCAAAAACATGTTGCCCACCACACCTTAAAATTCCCCAGCCAACCAACAAGGTTCACTGACATTGCTGCTTTTATTTTATATTCCTAGCCTTTTATTCTATAGCACACTTATAATAGAATAGAATACGATGAATTAGGTGTATTCAAACTTTATGCAGGGGGATATCAGGCAATCAGTGATGTATTTGCTGCACAGTGGTTTTTATGTCTTGTAATAGTCGCCACATTAAAGTCTTAAGGAAACATGAAAAGCAGGGTTTGCTACGTTACTGTTTTTAGCCCGTTTCCTGTAAATGTGATCAATCTCCCCAGAGTGTACTAAATCACACTGATTTGAATCAGTTTACTGGGCTTATTGTGGAAGTTATAGCCAAATCAATAAAAACAGCTGGAATCTGGCCACAGATGAGAGGGAATCACTGTAGAATAAATGCGGAGACTTCAGAAAAGACATCATACGCATCACAGATTTTATAAAAAGACCTTGTGAGGTTTGTGCAAGTTTACGCAGGTCAGTTTGTGCTCTTTCACTTTTAGTGCCTGAAGCCACTGTTTATCCTGCCTTTTTTCCTTCATTAGGAAGCATTATTAGTTCAGTCAGAAACGAGTATTCTAGGCAATTTCACAACAGACTTTTTGGCTTGTCATTATAAGAAAAACCCCAAAACATTATTAATATAAAATAATAATGTTTAGTTGCCTTCACGTGGGTCGTGTTATCAGGATACTGAACCCAAATCCGCACTTATGAACATTTTCTATGCCCAGATTTTTCTCACACTGTCTCCTGTTCCTGCAGGCATCGACCCCTTACAGCCTGGAGTCCGAGTCTCTGAGGATGGACTGCATCATGTCAGGAGGGGCATCTCCCACTCTGGCCATCAATGCTGTGACCAACAAGGTAGGGCACCAGCTGTTCATCAGCTGTTTCAATACAAAACAGCGCAACAGCGCAGGCATACAAAGTTTATGTGACTGGACGCGTGGCTTCCATCCTCAGTTAGATACAGACAGAGGTTGGTTCGGCATTTGGCAACTCTCCTTTTAGAAAGAGCTTTTCTTCCATTTTGGCAAATTCAACAAATTCAAATTGGGATCCAGAGCCAGCAGAGCCAACATCATAACAAAGAAACAGCAAACAGTCAAAAAGAGAAGTAAAATCAGCGTGTCACTGTTCATTTTGACATGAGTTCATGAGGCTTGAGTTCTTTTGTTATAGCAATATCATCTACAACCTATTATCAAACATATCAGAATTGTTGTACAAGGTTACTGGATAACTGTGAGGTTGGAATTCATGACGTGGTGGTGGAGGGGGCGTGGGTCAGAGGAGATTCATTAGCAGGTTGGACTCTCTGGATTGGGATTCATTTAAATGCTGTTAGTTTCATTGACGATGACCTTATATGCTTCAGAAGCGACAGATGTTCCATTCAGAGCTTTAAAACACTGTAGTAAAAATCTTCAGAATGATCATAGTTCGTTGGCATTTATATGAATGAATATTGATTTCTTAGTTCTGTGCAATGATTAGTCATTTGTACTTGCTTGTGAGGAAAATGTGTCAAACTTTGTCACAACATATTTATAGTAAGACATAACTGCAGCAGAAGCAGCAGCAGAAGTGTCTGTTTTTCTTTTTCGCCTCTTCTTTAGAGGCTGAGACGCCTTCAGAACAAGTCTTCACTTCTAGCGGAAAGCCTTACGCGACACAAACACACACAAGCATTTAAACACTAAACTGCGTGTGATCGCCTATGTGAGGGTCAGAGATCAAGCAGAGACAGGGACCTCTGACACCTATCTGATCTGACGCACACACCCACACAAACACAGTAATTATGCGCAGTGGGTGATCCTTTTCGTCCTGTCCCCAACCAAAGAGAAAATTTGTCCCGCAGCAGCTCGCATTACTCTGTTTGTTCTGGATGGGATGCGAATGTCTGGACTTTGCAGCACGTTACAGTTTTCCATTCTGGACTTTTAACAGACCCTGACTCATACCTCCCAGAATTTGTCAATATGAGACACGAGGATGAGAATTTCTGCACTTTTTTTCCCTTATCAGCGTTGTAGCCAAGTACTCATGCAATTTTAATCATTATTATTATTATTATCTGGAATTCAGTCCTTTTTTGCTGTGAGACACGGCAAACAACAGAGTGCAGTGGATTAACTTGCCTACCTGAAAAAGTAGATACTGCAGATCCTTCACATTTTCCACCATCATTCTTATAACAAAGCCGTTAATAACGTTATTAATCAATGCCGCAAAAGGTATTGCAGTTTTATTAGATAATCGCTAAGACAAAACAAGGACAGAGCTTCACAAGCAGCCAACTTGGTGCAGATCATCAAGCGATTATTGTTTGGCGTGTTTGGCGTGCCACTCGTGCAGCAGGTGGAGAAACAAAAGGATTTTCATTTGATTTCTTTAAACGTGTCAGGTTGCACTCAATCCGCGCTACGCCAGGAAAGACTAAAACTTGAGTCGTCTCAGACATCAGTATACATTTTGAAACAATGATTCAGAGCACGGAGACCTTGATGATAATGATGCCGATGCCGGCATCAGTGACATCCGCCCACATCCGCACAGGTGGCGTCCTGCAGGCACAGCAGTGCGTCAGAGCTTCTTCTATAACACGTTTGCTCTCGCCGAGGTTCTGCTTGCATTGGACAAAGCCTGCACTACTGAAGGAAGGCGTTCCTATAATTTGATACTGGGAATTTAGGATAGCGGGGGTCGAGGGGGTGGAGGAGGATCAGGATCAGATCATTGCACTGAGTTACTGTAATGTTTGCATAATGAAAAAACAAATCTTTTATGATCTGTCGTGATTAGTGTTTCGGTTCTTTTCTTCTGTGTAGATTTCAACCTAAAGCACCTCATTAAACCTAAAAAGAAATCCCTGTTCCTTTACTTCCACAGTCAGGAGAATTAAACTTTCACCCAGTGCCGATATTACCAAAACTATTCAAACAGGAACAGTTCAGGATTAACACTTTAACCCACGACTCAATAGCACTTCTCTATCCTTTCTTTTTTGCCACTACAAGATGTTCTGCAGTGTAGAGCACTGCCCCAGAGAGCCTTTAATGTTGTCTCACCCGAAGGCTGTATTTTCGCATTTGTCTATACAATTAAATGTTGCCTGGAGGTAATGTTGGCGCTGCGCTTCACAAGTCCTGACAGTCAAATAAAACAAGAGAAACATGATTCAACGTAATCCTGAGGCATTGCTCTTGAACGCTTTGTGATCTGCTACAATAAGATATACAGCGTAGTTACTTCGAAGCACAACTTGGTGTCTTTATCTAATCAGAATCAACAAGTTCAAGGTGGCAAAAAAAAAAAAGCAAAATCACAAGCTTAGGGTCGGTGAGTCTATGTTTTTTCTTTCGTTTAACACAGCAAAAGGACAAATTTACATAGACCAGAACTAATATTTCCACATTTTCCTCATAACTTGTTCCATCAGTTAATGGTGCATGGGTAACTCCTTGAGTGGCGCGGCACTCACTTCAGTCTGGATATGAATTGGCGCGTGAACAAATATGAGGCAGTGTAACAAAATAGGCTACAAGGAACAATAAAGTCATGAATCACTGCCTTTGAAGGGGTTTATGTGGTGCGTTGGCTCAAATTGTTGGCCCCGTATAATAGCCTTTATTGTCATATTAACATCAACACTGTGTGTGTGTGTAGGTAGCGCTGTACAACCATGAAGCAGAAGGCAGCGAGAGTCCTGGGAGCCTGGGCGGCAGCCTTAGCAACAGCCTTTCAGAGCAAAGTTTGGCGTCCGTCAACCTCAACAACCGGAGCACCGCGGTCAGCAGTGGCAGCAACGTGCACGGATACACACCAGTAAGACCTTTGCTTTTGGTTGTTGTTGTTGTTTAGAGTGATCGCTTCTAGGTTTTATGTTTCTCGTGACAATTTTCCACTCAGAATTCAAGGACACTGCCACAGTGTCTGGTTTTTCATTCACAGCTGACAAATTTTAAACAAGCAGCATTAAAACTATTTTTACGTGTTCTGTGTCGTGTTTGGGTCTTTTTTCCCCTGGATTCACTCGAAATAATCTGGATGATTCAGACACCGGTCGAGACACCAGATCAGTACAGAAGGTGTCTGCTGCACCCTTAGCAGACTGAGGAGGTGGTAACCAGCTAACAACATGTACGCTGGATCTACAGTACACTGCTCACTCTCATTTTATGTTTGATGCTCAGATTTTGCAGCCAAATATGTTTTCGCTCATCTTTAGCAGAGCACATTCACTGTGCGTAGAAGCAAAGTAATGACACTTTCTTTGGTTTTTCAAACAATTAGGCCTAATTGTGGTCACCTATTAAAAAAATCAAGGGGAAATGGATTATCTCTCTATTGTAGTGCTACTTTAACATGCATAGAAAGAATCAAATGGGCAACTTCAGTCATCGCTTCTTATGTGCAGAATTTATTTGTGCTCAGACAAGTGAAGCTGACCCAATCCAAAGAGACTTTTATCATTCCTTCCTTCCAGAGGTATGGAAATGCAATTCAGAGTGCAGATTGATTGAAAACTCAGTTGCTTGTTGTTGAACATTGCATTCATATGGACTGATTATTTAGCTCGTGAATTGAATTTTGTTTTGCCGCAGACTATCAATACTCTTTGCAGCCGCTCGCGCCCCTCAGGGCCGAACACCACAAAATAAATTTCAAACCTGTGGGAAATGCTTTGATAGCGGCTTGCTTCTGTCATCCAAAAATAAAACAAGAAGCAAGTTTATCTTGGTTGGTTTTGCTGTTTTTAGATGAGTGTGAGCCAGATGCTGTGTGTGTGTCTTTTGAAGATTATTTAATACTGCTGAACTTATGCTCTGAAAGCTCTTCGCGTCAAACCTCTTTCGACTTCAGACATTTTTGTAAAGCGCCAACACGACTATCCTACATTCACACCCACTTAACGCTGTGATTGGCCAGCTGTGTGGAGGTGAGAAAGGAGCGAAGGACTACACTCTAGCTCTAGCTCTTTTTTCCTCTGGTGGTTATGTAACTGCAGTACTGAGCAAAGAGTCTTGAGCCGCCCCTCTCTTTATGTTTCGATTTTAAAAAAACAGTCTTTGTTGTAATTTTTTGAAGTGCTCTTGAGCAACAACTCTCTAGGCTTTCAGAGTTGTTTTTGGACATTGGCTGCTTTTTCACTCATTTCCAGTCCAGTCTTTATCCCTGACCGTTTTCAGACACATTTGGGGGTTTTATGTTGTTTTTTTTATTAAGCCACTTAACACTGAGCTACCATACCCCACTAACTCTATTATTTCAGCAGGTCCCACACACTGTATACAGAGGACACATTGATGCAGTCCCATGTTGTCCGCTGTTAATGTTCCTACAAACTTGGATAATACAAAGTAGAGAAGAAACTCTGCACATAGCTGTTTCGTGCCATATTTTATCCTGACAGTTTGAACTATTCCTTGTGCCTTAAAACAAGGTCCTATTTAACTGAGTAGTCTTAAATAGTCCAACTTACATGATAATGAGCTGCTTGTTTATTAAAGAGGGACTACATTAGGAAACCAATATGTTTGAACATAAACTGACCCATGATGAGCTTTTGAGATTCAAAACAACATATTAATGGAGTGATTTTGGACCCGATTAGGAGTGACCTGATGTCTGAATAACTGAAGCAGCTCCCGTTAATTTTCCTTTCAAATCAAGTCAAGTGGCTTTATTGTCATTCCAACTATGTGCAGTGGTACAGTACACAGTGAAGCGAGACAACGGTGCTACGTATAACATATAACAGACAATCAACACAGGACTGCATAAAGTGCAAGTGTGCAAAAATTTCAAAAATCTCCCCCCAAAAAACCCCCAAACAGTGCAACACTAGGCAGAACAGAACGATACAGACACAAGCCAGTGGAGACACAACAGTGCAATAGCAAAGTGCAACAATGACAGTGGGTTGTGCAAAAGACTGATTGTCTTTCACTACTAATGTAGTATCTACAGGCTTTAAAGAAGTGATGCTCAAATGTTTTTGGTGTCCTCGTGACCTTTATAAGGTGCACAAAAAGGGGCGGTACACTTACACATTCTTGCTTTGCAGTCCACGAGGTTCCCTGCTGTGTCAACTGTCATTCATATTTTCACCTGTATATATTCTGGCTCCCAGTTGATAAACCTTTGTGAGCAAGTGTGGCTTTCTTTCTATTCAGTCCATTTCATTCTCCAAATCCTTGTAGTAGTGTAGCTACAACAGCGTTTTTTCCCCACTGCGATCACTAAAGTCCCTTTCGGTCAAATATAAATATGGGAACTAGACAGACCTGCATTGTGTTTGATGTATTTGTGATCGTTTTCGCGCCTGTGTCCCTCTAAACCAAATGTAATACAGTTTTAAAGGCCAGTCTCTGTTCAAAAACAAAATTACAGGAGGGCTGAAAAATCCCAACTCTTCATTATCTCTCCCTTGTAACAGCTGCTCACCTTTTTACCATCAATCACTTTTCCCTGCTCACCTCCCACCTGCATTAGCAAAGGTCAGTGCAATCTCATCTCGTTAACCTCTCATTTCTAGAGGCCATCTTTTGTTTTCTTCCTCCCTGCATCGGCTCCTCCACCTTTCGCCCTCCTCTTCCATCGTTTCAGACCTCATCTGCGGTCTAGTCCGGTGGGATCGGGTTTAGTTCTGACTCATTACCTGAAGCAGGTGATAGCCCCCTCCCCCCGCATCCCTTTGACTGACGGTGATTACTGGTGGCATTGCTGGCAGAGATCTCAGACACCGAGAGAGTTTATGGAAAGGCTGGCATTATTGGGGTGGAGGTAGATGTGTGGGAGATGTGTCGTCGTAAGTTGGCTTATATTGGCAGAGACACACTGATCACAGCAAATTGCTTGAGTTCTCCGGGTGGATGGTGAGGAAGATGACAGCTTGGATGAAATGAGGGTGGATGAAGACCGGCTGCATTCACAATATGCGGCAGATATGTGAAGCTTCGTATTTTGTTTTTGCTTTTATGTGAAAAGAAATGAGAGGCAGCAGCGATTCCATTTTAATTGTGTGAAATTGAATTTGGTATGATCATCACTGTGAATGGCTGAATTATTAAATGATTTCTGACAGTAATTTATATAAAAAAAAGTGTCCAGGGCTCGGCTGAAGTTTTAATTTAATTCATTTAAATTAAATCGTATTATTATTGAATTTTACTTTTCTGTCTGGCAATTGAAATTCAGGTGTGTTCACTTAGGTTCAGCCTGTAGAGACAAAAAAGCCAAGAGGTTTGTTTCTAATGCATTTTGACTTAAAGGCAGAGGTGCTCTCCACTTGATGCCTGTGCTAGGAAGCTGGATTTGGGATTATCCAGGTAACTTCAAGGTTAACCCTGGGTTTGCAGTATTACAGAGTCCGTTCACTTCTTAGCTCTACTTACTTGTTATTGTAGCCATGGTAACCTATCCTGCAGACCCGATCTAGGTTGTCGATCAGCAGGTATGAGATCACTGCTTACCAACCAATCAGTTATCTGGGAAATAGAATCACCATTTGTGGAAAAGTCCTTGGACTTTTGTCTAAAGTTTTTCATCTAGACTCTTGCTGTTTCCCCGATGAGCATTAGACTGTTCTATAGCCTATAATATATGATCCCAAAACAGGGCATCTGTGGACCTTAGAGTCTAAACCTACATTATAATTATGTTTTTATATTGAATCTTTAGGCTGTTCTCAGACCCTTAGACAAAATTGAGGCTACAGCTGAAAGAATAACAACTAAACCTATCACACATGCATCTAATTCATCACATTCTCCCATATTTCAATGTTAGAGTGTTGATACTTTTATTTTACTGACTATTGTACTGTGATTTTCTGTTTCACACTGCTTATTTCTCTACAGCAGGAGCATTTCTTTCAGTTACCCTCACAGTTTTATCATTCTTTGTGAGATCAGCGGCTCGCGTGCCAGTGGAGACGTCCATCTGTGTGACTGGCCGGATGCTGCCAGCGTCATCCCCTTAATGTGAACATGCTCATAGTTGGATTAATCAATCATGAGTTAAGTTATGAAGCTGATAACCACCTTTGTGTGACAATTTACCCTGATTGCTAATGTTAGGGTAAGTGAATAAGTTGCTAATATAATCTGACCAGATGTGCCTGATTTAAGGGTTAAAAAGCAAAATAATGGCCTCACAATAGTATTCATCAACAGGCGACAGGATCTGAGCATGCTCACTTAAGACTGGTCTCAGAAAACTATGAAGTAATAAAAATATAACAGCAAAAGACAACACTGGTGCCGCAGGTAAGGAACGAAATCGGTGCTGCATATGTAAATACACTGAGGTGTGGTTCAGCTTTAGTGCAATCTCACTGTTGTGTTAGAAGCTGTTGTTTCTAACACAACAGCTAAACTTTACAATACATTTAGCCATTCAGGAAATCACTTTTTGACCAGTTCAAAGTGAAATTAATTGTCTTCATGTAATATTCTTCCTGATCCAGGCCCACAAATACACCGAGCAGTTTCTATTCTGCAAACTGTAATTCTAACTTTTTAAAATCAACAGGGCAGCAGAGTAGGAGGATGTACGAAAACGTTGAATTTCTGAATAACTAACCCCAACGCAGAGCTCCTTTCTGCTGTGTTTGATCAAAAGAATCTGTGAAAATGTGTTATTTACAGCTGTTTTTAAACTGGAGCTACAAGATAACGTGCTCCAAACCAGGTTATGCGTTTCCCGCTGGTTGCTATGGTTACCTAACCAGGTAAAATGGGAGCAACTTTTTGAGTTCAAGCTCAAAAAAGTGTAAAAGAGTGTCATAGCTACCGCGGTGTAACCCAGGTCTTTGAAGCCTTGATTGTTTTTTGCTGTCGCCATCTTGGTCTCTTAATTATTTATATAGTACTAACCACAGTGTGTCACTGAGACCATTAACACAAGAGGAAAGTGTTTACAGAGGTCAAGTCAGAAAGCTGTTTCCTCACAGACTTCTACTGGACCCATGGCATTTAAGAAGAACTCGGGTTTAAGGCACTCTCACACCAGGTTAACCTATTAACCTTACTTCTGATTATACAGATGTTAGAATTAACCTTCCAAAACTGGAGGCACAGGGCTTTGATGTGCGGAGGTGTGGAGTTGTAAAACAAATAATTTTATGGTGATAATTTGTTTTTTTACATAGTGTCTATATTGTGTTATTAGAAATATGTCTGTTGTTGCTATTGAGTTTATATTAGTAACAAAGCTGGATAAATACTAGCTGATAACTTATGGAGAAGGGGTGGGATTAAATAAATGTGCACTTCCTCCCACTTTTTTGTGGAACCTCTGTATTTTGTTTATATGATCAAAATAAATAGAACATTTATTTTGATCATATATAGGTTTAACACATACGTCATCTACATGATCCGTGCAGTCCCGAGTCACCTTTTGTGCTTCTGTTTTGCATCCTGTCTTTAGATTGACTGACACAAGTTATATTATGTCACCTTAGGAGCAAATATCTGATTTGTGAATCTTCTCTCTGGATACAAATCGCTGTTGTTTCGTAGCCGCGCACTGCTGCTGCAGGTGATGGAGGAAGATGGTGATGAACTACAATCCACTTAGGAGTAATCCAATAATTTTAAGCAGTTTCATGTGCGGTGAGATTTTACAACTGAATGGCAGTTCCTTGACAATTAAAACATTTTAACTGAGCCTTGGTTTAATTCGGGGAGGCACAGAAATTCTTGAAGTCACTAATATGCTCTCTAATCCTTCCATACATGCTCTGTGTATGACAAGCAGCAGTCAATAAAAGAACTAGGTGCCATTAGGTGGTGTTTTTTGTGTATTTTATAAACAGTAGGGCCAAGAGTTGGTTATGAATGAGCCAAAAAATTCTTACTATTTTTGATGAACCAGTCAAGCACATAAAACGTATGCACTTGAACCTGCAATGCCTCATCACCTTGACGAACTAAATCTTTTCAATCGCAGTGTGAATTGAGCCTTTGTCAGGCGTTTTTCTGAAACCACGACGTTCTCTGATGTTCCCCGTGCCTTTTAACAGTCGATCTGTCTCTTCTTCCTATCCGCCTCGAAGGTGAGCAGCCACTCGGAACCTTCGTCCCAGTCCTTGAGCCTCCAGCAGCCCGCCCAACCTCCGCCGCCGCCTCCTCCTCCTCCCCCGCAGCCCCAGTACGGTTTACCTGTCCCCGAGTCACGGGACAAGCAGCTCTGCTTCTCAGACTTCGAGGACCTCAGCTCTTCGTTCCGCAGCCTTTACAAGTGCGTCTTCGAGCAGTCCTTCTCGCAGCAAGGTGGGTGGTTTTGTGTGCGGATTAGTGTGCCTGCTCATGCGTACCTGTTCGACACCTATAATAACACGTGTGTTCACGGGGAAATAAAGTAAACTTCTGTGTGAGGCTTTGTGCACATAATTAACTGACAAGAATAAGCCCCCCCGCCACCACCACCTTTATAAATTCAAACAGTTTAACACTGGTTTCATAGCCGGCATTCCAGTATTAACCTCCACCACACACTCCTACTCTGTTGTGTTTTAATAAACAAACAATCTGTTGTTCCGCATATCTGCGTTTTACGGCTCGCTCAGTCAAATGAGTAAAGGCAATTAAGAGTAAGAATTCAACAGAAGGGGGGGGAAAAAACTCTCAAACACATCTGTAGTCGAGCAGAGCAAAGGGTTCTGCAGCTTTGATAGCAGCTAATTAGATTGGTTCTAAAGTTTGCGAAGCATCTCGCTAATTGCTTCCTGACGCTTTCAGGTCACTAGGCCTCCTCCCTCTTGGACACCCCACCATCGCACCAACCTCCTCTCACCTTCTCTCTTCTCCCTCTCGCGCTTTTTCTCTCTCACTTTTTACTCCTGATACACATCAACAAATCTTCTGTAACCAAGGAGATTGATACGCTCTGTTGACCCCCGCAACTGCTGCCTGGATTCACCCTCTGACAAGGTCCCCTTCAATTTGTGGTCAGGGTTGTACACAGAGTACAGATAAGACAATGAGAATATAGATGGTGGGGAAGAAAACGGCACTGCGCTGAGATCTAAAAGGAAAATGAGGAAGAAAATGGATTTAGCGGATGCTTGAAAGGGTCCCTTAAGTGTGAGGCTTAGCAGGAAACGGTGTCAGTAGTCATTGTATTTGAGAATTTGAGTCATCCAGACAGAGGAGCTCATCGTATCTACAGCGAGTCCAGGACCGCACACCGCATTGCTACGGGCTCAGGCAGTGCCACCATCCTGAATTACAGGTCACAGTGAAGCAAATATGAACCTTTTCTAAAGAGCAAACGAGTGAATCAACAGCTGGGTCAACTTGTGAAGTCTCATTTTACAATCTGGCTTTCAAAATTATGCTGCCCTTTCCCTTTTTGCCATCTTAAAATCTTAAAGAGAACCCTGTTATTATTCCCTTTAAATGCACCCGTACGGTAAATTAGGAAAGAGGAACACAGCCGTGGTAAAATCATAGATAAAAATGGAGCTTTGATTTGCAGTACTGTAAATACAGTTAAGGCAATGAAAGCATTGACTATACACACAGCAGAGGGGAATAAAGAGACTGAATGAAAAATACTCTGCACTCGGTGGTGCACTCATCGATTCGCTTTTTATCGGTGACAAAAAGTTCTGAAGAGATCTTGGAGTGATAGCAAATAAAGGAAAAGGTAAACACGACTCAAACAAATGTACCAAAGGAAGGTAACCTTCGAAGAGTCCACCTTACTTTATAGTTGGACGTTGTATGTCCTTGGAAGAGCCTTTTACATTTAAGTAGTCACAAAACCGGGAAGCGGACAGCCGAGGTCCAGAAACGCTGCAGCATCATTTGAAAATTTAATGAGGCAGCAACCGACATAAAGCTTCTTCAGTGTCGATGATGAAAAGGAATTCATAGGTAGAGGTGAGGGAGAGTGTGTGTGTGTGTGTTTGTGTGTTTGAGGGATGAGTCAGAGATTCATATGACAAATCAGACAGGAGAGACACCGGGTGACGTAGCCAGGCTGGCTCGCCAAAACCTACACCCCCAATCAGAGATGATGGGTATCACCAATACTGATTATCCTTGTTAACCCAAGCTTTCTGTTTCACGCTCTGTGTGTGCCCTCATAAAAGGGCTTGTTTGAAGCCTACTTAAATCAAAAGCATTATCAGATGAATGGCTGATAGAGATCTATAAAGAATATATCAAAATATAATGGCAGAAGCCCGCACTGGTGCTGCAAATAAGGCAAGAGAGCAGCTGGCAGAAAATCGTTAATCTTGTGAATTCATAAGTGAATCTATTTATTTTACCACCCAGTGCTGACATTTATGTCTAAAGTTACAGCTGCAAGCTACAGGGGTGCCAGTGCATTCGCCTCTGATGCCGTCCCACAGCCTGATGGCAAAGATGTGGAAGTCTGCTGCCAGATCAAAGTGAAATCAAATTTATTGATACATTATTCTTGCTGATAAATAACCTCCACATAAACTGATCAGTTTTCTGATCCGAGCTGCAATTCCTGCAGTGTAAAATGGACTTGGATTCAACAAACCCGTATAATTCCTTTGGTGGTATTGCGATGTATAAGACATATTCCTGCTACTGAGAATCCATAGCAGTGGTTGTGCATGTGTGATTGAATAGGAGGCTAATAGCTGTGGGTGACATACCAAGGCATGTAGGTGGTTTAAACAATTGACTGACAATAATTTAGAAATGGCAACGTGAAAGTAATCCACATCCACTTTAAAATGAGTTCAAGAGAGCAAATCTGAACATGTTGTTGAAGGAGAATCTTTGGCTTTATTTGGTTGAGCTGTTATAGTGGAAAAAAGGTGTCTTCTCCATCATTTTTGCCCCATTTTTTAAAGTTTCATGTGTCTTTATGTTTTTTTCCCCAAGCAGGTTTGATGAGTATGCCCGGTGACTCGGGTCAACAGGCCCGCACCGCCTGCTCCTACCAGCACTCTCCTGGTGGGGGAAGCGGCAGCGGCCACCACCACCAACACAACCATGGCCAGACATCGCACCACCCTCACCACTCTCACGTCTCCCCTCACTCCACCCACGGTCAGCACCAACAGCACTCTGGTCACTCTCAGCAGCACTCGTCTCTCTCCCACCAGCAGAGTCACGCTGTGCAGGCCTGCCCCACAACAGGTGAGAACAGGTTTACAGACAAAGGGCATTACAGCATGTGTAGGATCTTTGGTGTCGCCTACTGGTGCACAACATCAGGAAAAACATGGGCAGACTTTAGCAACTTTCTAACAGGGATTGAATAATACTTTGCCAATCAGAGTAATAATAATAACATCAATACATCAGCTTGCACTGAACATACCAGGTCTTTAAATTTGAATGTGAAAGCTTTCTTTTAACGATAACATGAATGTTCACTAACAAAGCAACACGAGAGTCCCTTTGATTGTAGTTAATTACTCTGGGAGAGAGGTTACAAAGGCACAGATACTCATTGAGGTGAAAGGCAATTCATGTACTTTAAAAAACCCTTATCCTTAATTACCATAATTTGTTTCAAAATCACAGAATTCAGTTAATTCGGAACAAATTTACTCAGAAACCACAGACAAAAGATGCTTTATATCCCAGTTTCCATCAACATCTGGGGAAGTTTGTGCAGACACTGCACAGGAGCAGGAACTGCTTATATGATGTGCTTAATATACACAATATAGACCTGACCACTGGTGTTTTACCTTCACAGCCCCCTCATTTAGGATATGGATAACCATAATTCTTTTTAAGATCTATTTCTGGCATTTTAGCCTTTATTGAAAGGGCAGGAAAGCAGGGGGAATGACCTGAAGCACATGGTCTCGGGTGCATTCAGACTCAGCTTCTGCAGCAGCCTTTCGGCATGAGGTCCTGCTCAACCAAGTGAGCTATGCTGGCATTGAGTATAAGCGAAATTCTTCTGGCCTGGTGAACAAGTGGTTATATTACACCAAAAGCAAACCTTCCTCACTATTACCGTTCACATTATGTTTTCCAAGAAACAGAAAACCAGTAATCTCAGCGTCCTCGCAGCAAGAAAGTTCCCCCTGCTGCCCTTGTGCCCTCGGCTTTCACCTACATCCAGAGTCATGCTTGTCAGGTTAGCTGGTGATTTTAAAGTGGCTGTAGGTACGATTGTATGCCTCTGTGTGCAGGGCGTACTCTGTGTCTTAACAGCTGGGGATTAGCTCCAGCGCCCCTTCAACCCTAAATTAGATAAACAGTTAAGAAAGAAATGGATGGCTTGATGCTTTTAGACATGGGGAAACAGGCAGTTAAAGAAATAATAAAGTTGTTTGCTTTTCATTTGAAAATGGGTTTAAAATGTAAAACATGTGCAACAGTAAAAGAAAAATAAAATCAAAATATGTTTCTTTTTATCTGGCGTGACTGTGATTAGCAGTGGGGGAGACCACCTTCAGGGTTGAAATGACAAAATTATGAAAATATTGTCCGGTGTTCTTTTCATTCCGATGCCGCTGTAGAAGAGAAGACCTCCTATTACCGAGACTTTCACTTTGAAAGCCCCAATGCTATTTCTCCAGTTTCTCTGCTTTTCTAATTCTCCTGAAAAGACCATACAAAGCTCAAAGTATAGCTTCACATATATAGGCGCACCAAAACACTGATTCAACATTGCGATTTCCAAGGCCACATTGGTGTAACTGCAGTTCACCTAACACATCAGAATGGCACATCTGTGTACGCGGGCATTGGATTTGTATTGTATTCTTTCCTCTATAAGGTCCCAGAGTGTTTGATTTTTATGAGGCTGAGCTGATACAAACAGGCTTCTCCAAATCTTCACGAGGCTTTTCCTACTCATATTCCCAGTCTTTGTGTGTGTTTTTTCTCTTCGTGTCTCTGCAAGAGAGCTCTCAGGCCAGTGGAAAAGCCTATTTAGACATTATTTATCTAGGTTAGTATTCCCCACGACCAAGCTGAGGATGAATGAAAGCAACCTCTCTGTCTTTGATCCACGGCCTGAGAATGTATTGTTGTTTGGGTTGTGGTGGTGAAGGCGCTGAAAAGAATCTTCTTTCTTTTGCCTCACAAGCAAAGCTATGACTGGATTTTTTTGTCTTTCTTTTTGTGTGTAAACTCATGCCACCTTGTGGCTGTTTGCAGAACAGACAGATCTTTTTAAAGTGAATTAGTTTACCAGTTTGGGATCATCTAACAGTGTTGTGTTCTTCAGTATCACTGCAGATAACCAATGCTGTTTTATATCTGGGAGAAATCTTTTGAAACACGCAATTTAAAGACACCATATTTGGTTTATTTTGAAAAAATTTTTTTTTTATCTATTAGATGTTTTAATTCTGAATTTGATTCCTTTTTTATTTTACAATGCGATGCTCCAGGGTAAGAATAGTGTTTTAGAACAAGAGCAAATAAACACTGCCACCTTGCAAAGTCAGTTCAGAAAAGTTAAAAAAGACATGTATGTTAAATGACATTAATATGGGACATTATTCTGAGTCTTACCCTCGTTGCTTCGTGTGAAAATCCTTTTTTTCCCCAGGTTGTCTTTTGCAACATTTGGAAAAATGTTTCTTTAAAGAGACGTTTGTCTGTGTGTGTGTGTGTGTGTGTGTGTGTCAGTCATGTCATCAGACTGGTACCCCAACCTGGACTGGCTGAAGGAGAGCTGCCGCATCGCTACCAGCTACAACTGGGCTGACGTAGACCTCTCCCCATTCCAAGGTAACGCAAACACACAACTGCCATCAGTGTGGACAAATGAAATGAACACTGATAAAGCTGTCTACCGCGGCCCGCCTAAACACGGGGAAAATTGATAAAATGCGTATCATGTCGATCAGCTGCTTTGATTAAACCATTGTGATTCCTCTCTGTGCTTTCATATGCACTCGCCCTGAGGCTCAGTGTTATAATATCCAGTGTGGTAATAGTACTGCCCTAATAAAAGTCATTATCCTGCATCTGAGAGGTTCCCACTCTTATTCTCTCACACACGCACACACACACACACATAGACACACACAAGCTGTCTCGCTCCCTCCCAATTGTATGATGTGAATAATCCAATTAGGTCCCGGCTCAGTAACAGCCTCTTATCACGGTCAGCGCACAAAGCCGGCAACATCCACACGCGATTGATGACGACGGCTGGTCCTGTAGCTCACAGGCCGCTGCTGTCTCTCTCTCTCTCTCTCTACTTCTGCAACGCTTGACCTCTCTCACACCGCCGTAATGCCATCCTCTACTCTCTCTGGCTCATCTCCAAACAGCAGGGACCGAGCCTCTTGTCTCTGTCGGCGCCACATACGAGCCATACAAATGTGTTTTTGGGCAAAATATCTATCTTCACGTTTGAAAAATGGAAGCTTGAGCTTGTCTTATTTTGGAAGCGGTAAATACCAGAGGAGGTGATTTCAGTTCAGCGTCTTCTGCGTTGTTTTAAATGTGAACAGGCATCCCGTCAGAACAAAAGACGGTTTGTAGTTTCAAGGTTTTGAAACTTACGGTGACAGTAAACCGTAGTGAGATTCTTGTGCTGGATGTGTCCTCACGGTGATGGATGATAAATAATTTATTTCTTATTCAACCCGTGATTTGCTGACGGTGGTAAGAAAAAGTTCTGCAGAAGTTGTCTGGGAAAAGTCATGAAGGAGTGCATGTTGTTTTGCTGTAATGTTTAGCATGTAGAGTGACACATATTAAGGAGAAATATCACAAAAAATTATATGTTAACTACAATTTTTGATGCTGCAAATGATATATTTAGAAGGGGGAAAATACAGGGTGGGCCATTTATATGGATACACCGTAATAACATGGGAATGGTTGGTGATATTAAAGTCCTGTTTGTGGCACATTAGTATATGTGAGGGGACAAACTCCTCAAGATGGGTGGTGACCATGGTGGCCATTTAGAAGTCGTCCATCTTGGATACAACTTTTGTTTTTTCAATAGGAAGAGCGCCATGTGACACATCAAACTTATTGGTAATGTCACAAGAAAAACAATGGTGTGCTTGGTTTCAACATAACTTTATTCTTTCATGAGTTATTTACAAGTTTCTGACCACTTATAAAATGTGTTCAATGTGCTGCCCATTGTGTTGGATTGTCAATGCAACCCTCTTCTCCCACTCTTCACACACTGATAGCAACACCGCAGGAGAAATGCCAGCACAGGCATCCAGTATCCGTAGTTTCAGGTGCTGCACATCTCGTATCTTCACACCATAGACAATTGCCTTCAGATGACCCCAAAGATAAAAGTCTAAGGGGGTCAGATCGGGAGACCTTGGGGGCCATTCAACTGGCCCACGACGACCAATCCACTTTCCAGGAAACTGTTCATCTAGGAATGCTCGGACCTGGCACCCATAATGTGGTGGTGCACCATCTTGCTGGAAAAACTCAGGGAACGTGCCAGCTTCAGTGCATAAAGAGGGAAACACATCATCATGTAGCAATTTCAAATATCCAGTGGCCTTGAGGTTTCCATTGATGAAGAATGGACCCACTATCGTTGTACCCCATATACCACACCAAACCATCACTTTTGTTGTTCCAACAGTCTTGGAGGGATCCATCCAATGTGGGTTAGTGTCAGACCAATAGCGGTGGTTTTGTTTGTTAACTTCACCATTCACATAAAAGTTTGCCTCATCACTGAACAAAATCTTCTGCGTGAACTGAGGGTCCTGTTCCAATTTTTGTTTTGCCCATTCTGCAAATTCTGTGCGCCGATCTGGGTCATCCTCGTTGAGATGCTGCAGTAGCTGGAGTTTGTAAGGGTGCCATTTGTGAGTAGCTAATATCCGCCGAAGGGATGTTCGACTAATGCCACTCTCCAGTGACATGCGGCGAGTGCTACGCTGTGGGCTCTTGCTGAATGAAGCTAGGACAGCCACTGATGTTTCTTCATTAGTGACAGTTTTCTTGCGTCCACATTTTGGCAAATCCAACACTGAACCAGTTTCACGAAACTTAGCAAGCAGTTTGCTAACTGTAGCATGGGAGATGGGTGGTCTCGTAGGGTGTCTTGCATTGAAATCTGCTGCAATGACCCGGTTACTGCGTTCACCAGATATCAACACAATTTCGATCCGCTCCTCACGTGTTAACCTCTTCGACATGTCAATGGCTGTGAACAAAGAGAAACTTGTAAATAACTCATGAAAGAATAAAGTTACGTTGAAACCAAGCACACCATTGTTTTTCTTGTGACATTACCAATAAGTTTGATGTGTCACATGGCCCTCTTCCTATTGAAAAAACAAAAGTTGTATCCAAGATGGCCGACTTCTAAATGGCCACCATGGTCACCACCCATCTTGAGGAGTTTGCCCCCTCACATATACTAATGTGCCACAAACAGGATTTTAATATCACCAACCATTCCCATTTTATTACGGTGTATCCATATAAATGGCCCACCCTGTACATTTTGCTCAATATAATTAGCGAGTCTAAAGGAAACTTGTAACTTATTTTGTGGTCAAGAATTTACATCTAATTTTAAAACACTGTTACGATTCTGCAAATACCAAATTTCCTATTTTCAGAATTAAAAATGTCACAATCTACAGTGATGAAACTCGATTGCATTAAATGATGAAGCTACAAGGATGTCTGAGATACTGAAGCAAGAATTATTAAAGAATTGACATTTTGTACGCAGTTAAATCAGCTGATGAAACTATTAAAAATACATTTGTATTTTTTCCCAGCAGTGACTTAGTGGTGTCCACACCTTTAAATCATAGACTCATTAATATCCTCCCATAAGCATCCACATGTATTTATTTATCAATGTTTTAGTCCACATAAATATTAAATAATGTATTTGGTGAATAAATCAAAGGCTTCTGACACAGTTGTAAAAATGTACTTCTAAAGCTTTTAAGGCTTAAGGGGAACAGTATCATAGCCGGTATACACTGATCAGGTCTAACTTTATGACCTTCACTACCCACATGCATCAGTGAGCTTTGGCCACCAATGACCCTGTCGCTGGTTCACCTTGGACCCCTTTGATAGATACTGACCACTGCAGACCAGGAACACTCCACAAGAGCTGCAGTGTTGGAGAAAATCTGACGCATGTCAAACTCACTCAAATCCTTACATGTGCCCATTTTTCCTTCTAACACATCAACTTTGAGGACAAAATGTTCACTTGCTCCCTGATATCTCCCACCCACTAACAGTGGGTTAGAGATGATGAAGAAAGAATGAGTGTAACCTCCCCTGTCAGTGGTGTATATGGTAAATGGCCTGTATTTGTATAGCGCTTTACTTAGTCCCTATGGACCCCAAAACACTTTACACTACATTCAGTCATCCACCCATTCACACACACATTCACACACTTGTGATGGCAAGCTACATTGTAGCCACAGCTGCCCTGGGGCACACTTACAGAGGGTTAGGGACACTGGTACCACCAGGCCCTCTGACCACCACCAGTAGGCAACAGGTGAAGTGTCTTGCCCAAGGACCCAACGACCGAGACTGTCGGAGCCGGGGCTCGTACCGGCACCCTTCCGATTACAAGACAAACTGCCAACTCTTGAGCCACAATCGCCCTATATGAAAGGTGTGATCACCCCTGCAAGATCAATTTCTTGTGCATCTCTACCGACGCTTCTTCTTCTTCTTTTGGATTACTCCATAGAAGTCCCGTTATGAACCCTGTACCTGTGCCTCTGATGATCCGGTGTGTCAGGCTGGAAATCCTTTGACTTTTTTTTTTTATTCATGCAAAATTTGAAAACGCATGCTGTGATTTTTTTTTTCCTGCAGGTGCGACTACAATTGAGCCTGTATGTTCATTCTATAAACATATTCCTAATTTATTAGATAAAACACCAAGGGAATTACACTACATCACAAAAAAATACAATTTACTCGATTTGATAAGCACTGATGCATGCCTGATGTTTAAAATTATTCATTAGTCAATCACCACCCACTTAGAGGATGTCGGGTATTTCTTGGCAGTGGAAGTGCTGCTAAGAAGAAAGCATCTATTAGAGAACAGCAACGTTTGGTCTGCTTTTTCAGTAAAGTAATGAAGGAAGTGAAATTTTTGTACCCACAGAAATGAGAGACTCATTTTTGCGGTGTTTAAAAAAAATCACAGAAACCAGTGCTGGCCTTGCATCCTTTATATTTAGCATATTGATTTAATTTAATAATAGGTTTTCTCTTATATCGCTTCTTTTTCTGTTTTTTCTTTGTTTGTTTTTTTCCTGTCTGGCAGAACAAGCTGAACAAATGCAAATTAACAACTCGTGCATTAATTTACCTGTAAAAAAACAAATCAAAACAATAAAATAAAGTACATGAAACGATGTCACATCTTGAAGCAGTAAAAGCTCTGGTGCGTGGCAGTCACAGCACTTTGCTTCCTCTCTCTGTCAGGTCTGAAGGAGAGCATGCGACAGGCGGAGCTCAGCAACTGGTCTCTTGATGCTGCCCAGATGGCTGACCTGTGTTCCTCCATTAACCAATTCTTCATGGCGACGGGGGTCATCCCCCCTCAGGGCGCCACCCACCCACAACCTCAGGTCCAACATCCAGCGCCGCCGTCCGCTCCTCAGCACCCGGCTCAGCCGCACGGGGCCATGCATCCAAAGCCCAGCCATCACAATCAGCATGGGCAACACAACCCACATAATCAACACATCAGCACAGGTCAGTCTGCCGGGCCAAGGATCCTGTACTATAAGGATAGAAGTATATTAGATTGTTGCATCTGGGACCAGAGGCTGAGATTTCTGCTAGTAACCAGCTTAGACCTGGAAAGTCAGCTGCTTTATATGTGCACAGGGCTTTACACACATGCACACATGGCAGCATCGTACTCTGGACTGCTGTTCTGTTATTTAATTATTAACACCGCAGTATCCTGTTAAAAAAAACAAACATTACAATAAGTGAAAGGATAAGACACTGGAGATGCCCTCCAGATCAAGATCAGCCAGACCCTGCAGGAACTGGAAATCCTTCTACCCTCTCCAATCTTAGAAGAGGTTTACAAGTTTGTGGACAAGGCTCAGCGGGCCCAACACTCTAAAGGAAAAGAAAGACAACGCAGGAAATTTCACACCTTGCTTTCAAAAACACACACTCCTCATCCTGAACCTACACAACCCAGAGAAGAAAACACACCTGAAGTCAGTCAGGAGAAATGGGTTAAGAACTTTTCAGACAGGATTCTCACTGAACCTGAAAAGAGAGTATTAGCCAAAGGACTCAATTTTGCCATTTCTCCACAACAGTTGCCCATAGTGGACCTCATCACAGCCACAGAATCTGCCATACGGATTAATAAATTATCACAGACAGAAGCAGAGCAAATCAGGATGAAAGTCTCAGCCACGCTCTCCAGTGCCAAAGTCCCTCCATCCAACCTCACAATACAGGAAAAGAAGGCCGTCGCTTCCCTGAGCAAAGACCACAACATCACTGTTTTACCAGCTGATAAGGGAAGATGCACCGTGGTCCTAAACACTACAGATTACCATACAAAGATCACTACTCTCCTCAGTGACAACAATACCTACGAAGCCCTAAAGCGAGACCCCACAAGCAGCTACAAAAAGAAAGTTATAGCTTGCCTTCAAGACTTTGAAAAGGACAAAATTATTGACCGCCTTACATATCACCGCCTTTACCCAGGGGATGCCATACCCTGCATCTATGGACTTCCTAAAATCCACAAGGAAGCTGTCCCACTCAGACCCATAGTCAGTAGCATAAACTCAGCCACTTATAACATTGCTAAACACCTTGCTACCATCCTTGCTCCTCTCGTGGGGAACACCCCACACCACATCAAGAACTCCACCGACTTCACCGACAAGGTCCAGAAACTTACCCTGGATCCAGATGAAACCATGGTGTCCTTTGATGTAGTCTCTCTCTTCACTTGCATACCCACCACGGAGGCCGTGGAGACTGTCAGAAAACGACTACAAGAAGACAGCTCCTTGGAGGACAGGACCAACTTCACACCCGATCAGATCTGCACACTGTTAGACCTCTGCCTCACCACTACATATTTCAAATACAACGAAGGCTTTTACAGACAAAAACATGGCTGTGCCATGGGCTCCCCCGTGTCACCTATTGTAGCCAACCTTTACATGGAGGAAGTGGAAAGGAAGGCTCTTGGCTCTTTCAAAGGAAGAGTACCCAGCCACTGGTACAGATATGTGGACGACACCTGGGTCAAAATCAAGACACAAGAAGTGGAATCCTTCACTGCGCACATTAACGCTGTGGATAAAAACATCAAGTTCACCAGGGAAGACACAAAGGACAACTGTTTGCCTTTCCTGGACTGCGCTGTGCACATTGAAGAGAACGGCAACCTCAACATCGAAGTTTACCGGAAGCCCACACACACGGACCAGTACCTCCTCTTTGACTCCCATCACCCTTTGGAACACAAACTTGGAGTAATTAGGACCCTACACCACCGGGCAGAACATGTTCCCTCTAAGCCTGAAGGAAAAAAGAAGGAACACACACATGTAAAGGAAGCACTCAAAACGTGCGGCTATCCTAAATGGGCGTTCTTAAAGTCAGCAAAGAGGCACAGAAAAGAAGACCAGACACCAGCGAGGGAGGATAAGAAGGACAGACGCAACAACATTGTCATCCCCTATGTAGCCGGTGTATCAGAAAAACTCAGGAGAGTTTTCTCCAAGCATGACATCCCGGTGCATTTCAGACCCAGCAACACACTCAGACAAAAACTGGTTCACCCGAAAGACAAAACGCCAAAACACAGACTTAACAATGTGGTGTATGCTGTACAGTGCAGCGAGGAATGCCCAGACCTCTACATTGGAGAGACCAAACAGCCACTTCACAAGCGCATGGCACAACACAGAAGAGCCACCTCCACAGGACAAGACTCAGCAGTCCATCTGCATCTTAAGGATAAAGGCACTCTTTCGAGGATGCCAATGTTCACATTTTGGACAGAGAGGACAGATGGTTTGAAAGAGGAGTGAAAGAAGCCATCTATGTCCACTGTGAGCGACCATCTTTGAACAGAGGCGGGGGTTTACGACACCAACTCTCTGCCATCTATAATCCAGTTTTGAGATCCCTTCCCAGACGCCTTAACGCCCACTCACATCCTGGGCCATCTGACCTCAGGAATTCGCATGATAAGGTGGGGCCAGGTTTCACAATGAACAACCCGAAACTCTGGCTGATTGGGACCCACACCCAGTTTCACACCTTGGCTCAGGCGATTAGAGGATCATCAGGGGGTCCTTTTGTCCCTCTGTGGGGGGTACTCCCACTAGGTTTATATCTGGGACTCTCCACCATTTGACCTTAGAACTGAAGAAGCTTCTCGGATGAGAGGTGAAACGTCTTCAAGCAACTTAAAGAAGTCCAGACGCTTTTCTTTGCAAGCTCCTTTGACTATGATGACCTGGATGACTGAGAACCTTCACAGACATTACAATAAAATGCTGTTATTTATTTTTATCTGATGACTCCACTCATGTGTCAAAAGAAAAGCGTGAAAAAAAGTATGTTAACTTAAAATAACATATGGAACCCCAAAAACTCTCCATTAGCAAAATAATGGTTCCTGCTGTTAGTTGACGGGATGGAGGCAGGAGCTCAGCTGACTGCCAGTCTCTCCGCTCGCTGTGTCATTGTTGGCTCGTTGTCTATTTACAGCAAAATTATGGAGTCTGTCAGTTTAATGGCAACTGAAGTAAAGATATGAAGATGGGGGAATATTTCACCAGAGGGAAATCCACTGAGTGGCAGCAGAATCTATTGGATTTCTCTGGCTTAGCATAAAACGACAATAAAATTGTGTGCGCCCATGATAACAGCTTGTGTTCTGCAAAGACGAGTAGTGTGAAAGCCGGGATACTAATCTGACAGTTAGTCATTGCCCTTTTGTCTATTCTCCCACAGGGAACATGTACATGGACTCGAGACAAAACCTTTCTTCTCTGATGGGCCCACCAGGATATCCTCACATGCCTCCCATGAGCAACACTGCTCCCACCATGACAGGTGACTCTCCCATCGCTCTCTTAACAGGTCAGGAGGAGCCTGGAGAAATACATGGTGTATATAGAGGCTTACACAGAGGCAGTGTGTGTGTGTGTGTTTGTGTGTGAGCAAGAGAGAGATAGAGATTTTTGGCAATAGCACACTTAAAACTGAATAACACACTTCTGATTGATTAAATAGGGAAGCTTGAACTAAAGTCAAATGTTGTATTTCTCTTCATAAAGTTAGGAGATAGAATTAAAAATCTGCCAATCACAGATCAGCAACTCAACACAACCTGCTGAAGTTTAAACTGAGCACCAGAAATGGAGGAGAGCGGTGATTTAGGTGACTTTGGATGTGGCGTGGTTGTCGATGAGGATCTCCTGATCTTTTTGGATGTTCCCATGAAACCATCTTGAGAGTTTACAGAGGATGGTCTGAAAAAGAAAAAAATATCCTCTGTCTATCCCTTGGTCACACCAGAGGTCAGAGGAGAATGGTCCGACTGCTTCAAGCTGATAGGAAGGCAACAGTAACTTAAATAACCACTCGGTACAACCAAGTTTTGCATCTCTGAGGGCGCAGCAAGAGATGACCACAGCAGTTCCCACTCCTATACGTCCTACAATGAGTTTTTTTCTGGAACAGTTGGATGGTCAAAATCGATCCATCCTGCCTTGTATCAGTGGTAGGGGCTGGTGGTGATGGAGTGCATTAGTGTTCAGGATATTTTATTGGCATACTTGTGAATCTTAGCAACAAGTGAGCATTATTTTATCACCATAGTCTTCCTAACTGATTTCTTGAATGCGACCATGAGCTCACTGTACTTAAACGGATGTGCAGCTGCAGGATTTGAAGCAACTGTATGATGCTGTCTTGTCACTTTGGACCAGAATCTATGAGGAATGTTTTCAGCACCTTGTTGAGTCCATGCCATAAAGAATTAAGCCAGCTCTGAAGGCAGAAGGTGGTCTAACCGAGTACTAATGAAGTGAACCAGTAGAAAAACTAGTATAAATTTTCTTTAATTCCCCAGAAAATGATCCATTTGTAGCTCAGAATATTGTTGTGAAGGCACTTAATGCAGCACAGTGCTGCCACATACTGAAGTATCTCGTCATAAAGTTGCATCAACACCTCTCTGATACATTAATTTTATAATTTTCTTAAGATACACTGAGCGTTTTTATAGTATCCAATATGCATTTTAGTTTCAAAGTAACCATTAAAATTCATTGCAGTGACTCACTAATATGAGTCACCATGTCATGATCACCTGTTATTTAGGGCACTTTAAGACGTGGTGTAATGTGCTGACAGTATATTTCTCTGTTTTTGACTTTTTCTTGTTTTTCCTATATTTTAGCTGTGTTTTAGACACTTTTAGTTTCAGCTGTTCTTTGTCCTACTCACATATTTAAAAAGAAATAATTCAGATGTAATTATCATCTTCTTATACATCCAGGTCATCACAGCCAGCTGAGCCAGCAGCAACACACGCTGCCTCCGGGACACTTTCAGGTGAGGCGCATGCTCGCTGCCGACGACATCCAGGATGATTTTGACTGGGACTCCATCGTCTAGACTGAGCCGTCAGTCAAAGGGAGCGACGAAGGAAAAGACTTGAAATTAATAAGGAGATGCAGGCAAAGTGTGATGATAGTGACATAAGGTACGAAACTGACTGACCTGCTCCTTTCGCCTGTGTAACAAAACAGAAGACAATCCAACAGAAAACAAGATGGGAAGTGATTTTTCTAAACACGCTGGCCTTTTTTTTTCTGATAAAAGCGGTCTATTAAATCTAAAGACAATCATGGAAAAATGGAGATGGGACAGACTGAGACTGTGTCGAACGAAGCCAAGACGTAAACACGTTTCGTCCAAAGCGACAACGCTCCGAATTGTCTCTCGTTGTGTCCCCGTTGTGCCAACAGGGTTGCAAGTCGCCAAAGTGTTGTCAGTTCTTCTTTGAATTGCTTTCTTTCTCTTAAATGTGCATCCCGCTGCAGCTCGTGTCCCGTGAACTACAACGTTTCCCAGCCTGTGACTGGAATGAACAAAAAAGATGTCCTCTCCCCAAACTGTCTTAAGAAAACCATCAAATTTGTTTTATTTTTTGCACACACTGAGCAAATCCAGACATTTCATCCTTTCTTCACTGTAGCATTGCTTTGCTCGTTGTTACTTTACATATGTGGTGAGAAGGATAATAGTTTGGGGACAAAATTAAGGACGTTTCAACCTAAATCATGAGTCGGGGCACCACCTGCTGGTTAAAACAGGTATTTTTAGCTTCTATCCATCTATCACAAATTGTTCCTCCTCTATCTTTTTTCTGTCATACAGGACACTAGCTGTAAACTTCTTCTGCCTATTTTATCGCAAACTTGTCATCAGTATGCGCTTTCAACAGCAGGTTAGTGTGTCATGTTCTCAGGGTGTTATGTCCACATATGTCTTCGCACCTCTGCCCTTTACATCTCCTAAATGTGAGGTTAACTGTGTGTCGTGTAGTGCTGTCAGTGTTCAAATCCTGTTGGCTAAATGTTAGCGTTGCCCAGGACTCTGGTCAAATGGATAAAAGTCTTCATTTGTCAGCTGTAATAAGCTGAGTAACAGAATGAGCCTTTTAGTCGAGCCAATATACGTCACTGATCAAAAAGAAAATCAGACCGTCGCGTGACTCAGCATTAACTTATATAGTTTTCAGAGATAAAACTGAAGGGGAGGCAAAAGCGCACATCATTTATGACCCTGCGGATCAGCTCGGTCTTGATTTCTAACATGCCTCATTTGGGAAAAGGCGAGCAGTTTTTTGCACAGCAACAAGTTTGATAGCATCTAGACTAAAATAAATGATAACCGGGAGAATTTTAATGCTTTGTCTAAGTAAAGATCAAACAAGATGCTCAACATCATTTGTTTTGTTTTGCTTTTGTTGTTAATGTTAATTTTGTGTATGTACAGGTGTGTGTATAGTCCTCTCCAGTTTCCTTTAGCTTTATATGGCTCAAAAAAAAGAAAAGAAAGAAAACACACATGGGAAACAAGTGAATTTCATTGTATTCACACTTTAAGGTCTCCTATTTTCCACGGTGAAATATTAGACCTTAAAGTGCTTTTTTTTGCTTTTTTTTTGCTCTTTTGGAAGATCTCAGTGATCGTTCAGGTGGTCTAAACAAGGTAATGTTTAAAAAAAAACACAAAAAACAAGATAAATACTCTTTATTATTGCCATTAAATGCTGTATTACCGTGACCAGCATATATATATATATATATATATATCTTGTATGTCTGCGTGTAATTGTCCTTGTAAATAACAGTATGTCACTTCTCTGTTTGCCCTGGAAAAATGCAGACTGAAAAAAAAGAAGGAAATGGCAAATGGAGATGGGTATTTTGTTATTTCTCTTCCAGGAGAAACATTATGTACATAGCTTGAGTATAATGTAAATAGGTGATTTAAAGAAGGAAAAAAAAACGTTGGCATTTTTGTGTGTCATAAGTAACCTGTGTATGTATGGCGGTTCAGCGGTTGAAATCTGTTTATGTGTTTATTAAAATGTCATTGACCATTTTTACTGCAATAACCTTGCATCTGCTACCGTTATTTTATCAGCTGTTTGCATGTTTGAAATCTTGAAATAATGCTGTGTGCATGTTGCTGTGCTGTGCAGGAAGATGTGACAGTGGCTTCTGAGTTTTTAGTTTGAGCCTATTTGTGCTGTTTTGGCCCTCGCAGCTTGTTGTCCAACAGGTGTCAGCCTAGCGCCGGGCGACCGTTTGTTTGCCCTCCTCTGCATGTAAACTAGGCAGACCACCCATGCTTGCCTGCGACACACCGTCACACAGTGTTCTAACTGTATTTATGGCCTCTTTTCATTGGAAAGCGGTCCAGAAAGCGCTCTTTCCTCCCGCTGTCTATCAGCCACCCATGTACACTGCCACTTTCTTTATAAATAGAGCAAAACTGATGTTTTAGAAGATCAGCACAAATGAATTCCAGGTGTTTGCTCATATTTATTTAAATCCTTTTAAATATTTGACAGGTAGTATCTAGTCAATCCAAAGATTTGGCTCCTAACTCCTGTGATTAAGGATTATTTGAAACAACCCAAACCTCTGTTTACATCTCTTCCATTCATTCATGTGGAAAGTTTGTTGCTTTAGCTTTCTAATTGTAAAAGACAGCCGGTTGCAGTTTAGTGTGCCTGTCTTGTCTAGATAAATAAGTGTGTATTTATCTGTATCACCTAGTGCATGTGTTGGCATGTGTGAGTGTGTGCATGCTGCTGATATTGCAGGGTTTGCAAACAGGAGTACTGCTGGCTGTGGACCAAGAGGAGGTTTACATGGGGCTGGGCCACGAGGGCTCAAACCACCTTACTGCCCCTATCCAGACACCCTCCTCCCAATCCAACCTGCCCCTTGCTCCTCAGCCCGCCCAGCCCACCGCCACCACAACCAGTACCAGCACCCCTCCTCCACTCTCAGCCACTCACATGCACCCTCTTTTCTCTCTCCTTCCTGCCGTGTGCCATTCCTCCCTCTCTCTCTCTCTCTGCACTCACCCAAAGTGGCCAGATCTCTCCTCTCTTTCTCTTGTCCTGTCTGCATCCCTCCACCACTCTTTCTTTCTCTTCCTCCACGCCGACCAGCCCGAGTCTGTTCACATTCACCTCCACAAGTTGAAAGGATCTCAGCCCACCGCTTTCCCAAACTTCCTCCGGCCAAAGACTTTATTTTCATTCTTGACCTTTTTTGGGTCCCTCAACATTTTACTACCGTAGACGCCGGTTGGTGTGTGTTAGGTCTCCGGTGTTGTGCCCCTGGGGACGTCTCTGTGGGTTTTGACTGGCGAGAAGAGCGGAGAAGAGTTTTTTTTGACACAATGAAAGTTCAGCTGCTGCTCCTGTCGGCCCTTGTTGGCCTTTTGTGCGCCTTCACAAGTGCAAGTAAGTGAACTCTCAGCTATCACCATCCTACTGTTAGCACACTATGTCCTCTCTCTCTCCCTCTGCCTCCATGTGCCCTCACCACACTTCTCTTTGTCTGCTTTAATCCCTGCCGATTGAACAATAACACTTTGCAGGCTGGATTCATAAGGGGGGAAATGGTCCAGGTTTCATTTGTATTCATTAATAAGTTAATGCGATTGTTTGTTTACACGCAAATACACAAGTGTTAAACACGTACTCACATTTTAAATCTTTTTTTGTGTAATAATAAGAATATTTCTTCTAGCATCTGCGGTTAATCCACCAAACTTGGCCAAAGATCAGTGATTGGAAAAGCGAAAGTGTTAATTTAACAAAGAGGGATCAGCTCATATGAATGCTCCGTGTTCATTTTAACAAATTACCTCATCCTGCTTTGCTGTATTTTTCCCTCGCTGTCACTGTTGTCTCCTTTTTTCTTTTTTTCTTTTTTTTGCAAGCATGGGGGGAAAAAAAATATATGATGTAATAGCAAGAAGCTCTGGTGCCTCGTGTCTGTAGTTTTCTTGGCACAGCCAAAAGAGAAGAAAGCAATATCCTTTGGAAGCGTCCCAAAAACTGTGGTCATGTGCAGGGGGGGGGGGGCTGTAAACTGTAACATACACCGTACATATTTATCCGAAAGCCTATCCTGTGCTTCCTCTCGTTTTACTCCTGATTCTCCTATTTCTCTCTTGCTGCACTTGATTTTGTTTTCTCCTTTTTCCCTCTGTTTTTCTTCTCCCCCCTTCATCTGTGCTTTGTCTCCAGTCGCTCTCACAGCATGTATCATTTAACTTTCTGTCTTTCTTTGCCTTGCTTTCTTCTTTTGCCTTGACCAGCCACTCTCTGCCCAGTAGTTGTGGCTGAAGCCCGAGGAAAGTGCAGGGCAGGGCAGGGCCGTTTTGTGTCTATGTGGGTGTATTAATAGTGGGAGGCTCTATATTTAAGAGGGTCAAATGGATGAGAGAGGAGCAAGAGACGTGATGAACTTTGAGAGCTGCCCCACCCTCTTTTACTCATGTGTTGTTAGCATGTACAGCACACCAGCCCTTGGCATTTACCCATCTTTGGTGGGGTTGCAAACTTTACCACTTAAAATAACCCCTTCCTTCTCCACCCCCCAACCACCACCGTCTCTTAACAGCCCTTCAGCTTTCTCAAGCTCTCTCTCTTCCAGGTTCATGAGTGTAACCCTCAGATTTGGGGGAACACAGGATGCACAAAAAGCGATGGGTCTATTGTTACACGACAACCTTTTCCTGGTCTGTGTGTCTCTCCCGTTTTATGGCGGGGTTTGCTTTTTTAACTGAGGAAGAAACTGCTGAAGTTTTCAGAAAGTCTTCCCTGTTCTTGTTAAGAATACAAAGGAAATCAGTCATTCCCCACTCATACCTCACAAATGGAGCCTTTCTAACTCCCATCTCCATCCTGTACAATCATCCACCACCGCCCTCTCGCTGCTACTCCCTCCGCCCCTCCCCTCGTCTCCTTCTTATGAGTTTTGTCTGCAGTTGCTTGGCCAGTAACATCCCATTCACATCTGGCCGCCAAAGGAAGAGGTTAATGCCCTTTGTCCGAGCCCGCTTGAAGAAATGACCCAAATGTTGCGCTCCTGTTCCAAGTATGAGACACACGCGCGTAAGGAAAGACCACGAGGTCCGAGGACTTCTCACACCAACTGAATCTAATTAGGAGAAGAAAAAATGTAAAAAAAAAAATAAAAAGTAAAAAAAAATAAAAATAAAAATAAAATACTTCCATACTTCCAAAAATTTCCCTAAGGAGAAAGATTCATCTGTTTAAGGAAAGGGGAGGTGGAGACTGTTTTATCCCAGACCAAGCCCTTATCCTGACGAAACTGAGACAGTAGCAGCTCCAAAAAGATTAGAAAAAACACCAAGATTTATGTGCATATCCTCAACAAGTAAAAAGGCACAAATGCCAGCCTTGCACTTCCTCTGTGAGACATGGAAAACATGAGAAAGGAAATGCAAGCCTGGATGTTCAGCATGATAATGCACCGTAACTTGTTTATTTGTGTTCCCTTCGTTTAACATCACGCCTGTTCCGGTTCATTGTGCTGTGGCAATGTAGTGAGAAACTGTAATGCCCGAGATTAAAGGCCAACTTGATGTAGTGCCAATTTCTGCCCCTGGTGATAGAGTCCAGATGGGACCTGCTGCATGTCTTTTTTATCTGAGTTAGAGTGGGAGGAGAAAAACACGAGTGGCTATAAAATGAATGTGGACACACATTCAACGCACATTGTGTTGCATCTGCGATAAGGCCGGCTGAGAATATTCCACTCTTGCTTCAAAAAGTCCCCAGCGTGCACTGCATGGCACGGCCCGGTGTTTTTAGAGATGACTCCCACTAGTTTCGCAGGGGAGTGTACGTCATGTGACATCTCATGTTGGTGTGGTGAGATGGGGAGGGCGTCTGTATCGCTCACATTTTACTCCCTAAACACCACGAAAAACATTCCTGAGATTCGAAGATGAACACACTCCCTCACATCTCGTGCACTGATCTTTTCTGTCCCACACAGGACTGTGAATTAGCAACTTACGTGCACACACACACACACACACACACACACACGTGCATACAGGGGGCTTAAGTGACAGCTAATTGTGATAATAATGAATGGAAGCCTGTACTCCCACCTTTGCTGTCTCTGGCTGTATATTATTGTGTCCCTCCATCACTCTTTTGTTTTTTCTCTTTAATTTATATCAGAAAGGAGTGAACTTCCCCTTTTCACTCAGCCCTTTTCTTCACCTCGCCCTCCCTGTCCTGTTTTTTTATTTTCTGCGTCACTTACAGTTTTTTAGTGGAAATGTGGGAACAAAATACCATGGTGGACCAAAATAATTTATTAATGTAAGCTTATGTTTTACTAAGTAATAATTGTGTTTTTTTTACTCCAAGTTAACCCTTTAATGCACAAGTTCACATACATGCACACAAACACGGGCGAAATGTTAACCCTCACTGGGTGAATGAAGGTTTTCGGGGCGCTGGATGATGTTTCAAGCATGCTTGACATGAAAACCGATGCAATGATGAAGAAGGTTTGAAAAGAAAAGAAAACTGCTTCCAAAAAAAGTTTAGTTATTTAATGAAAACTAACTGGAGTTATTTTTTTTACCTTAAAATTTAAATTATATATAGATTGAATAAATATCCTTAGTGTAACTCTTTGTCAGTTTGGTAAAATTTGTTATTACAGCTTGCCTGATGAGGGGCTGATGGAGGTGTTTTTCGAGGGTTTGGATGTTTACAAGACTGTGAGTCAACTGCTTTCGAAAAGTTCTGTTTTAAAGTAATACCTATAATGATTTGCAGAAACTCTGCCACTGGCATATGCCCTCCACGCAACAATAAAAACCGACTAAAACTGACCCTGAAAGTAATAAAAACGAAACTAAAGGTAAACATGTTCAGAATGATAAACACTGAACTGAAATAACCAGAGCAGCTCTGGAAACTAACTGAAACGTAACTAAATTAAAAAGGAAAAAAAAAAGTCAAAATTAAATCAAACACTGAAACTCGCAAGAAAAAGCAAAGCATCCAACTTTGCAGTCATCGTTTAACTGACTGAGAGTCAGACTAAAACTAGTTGTAGAAACTGTAGCAGCGTCAGGCTTCCTGTTCTAGGTCTGTCCATTTGCCCACTGAGGATGAACACAAGCTCACCTATGTGTTGCACACACGCAATGCATCTTGCTATAAGCGGACACACCATGTTCACAGTGAAATCAAGCACTCTAGACGGGACACGGGGTGCTCCCTGGCGTCTCACTTTTGAAACATGCCATTCCCTCAGAGCTCCCCCTCCACCCTTGCTGCTTTCTCTCCCCCCTTCTCTTTCTCTCCAAGGATTCAGCCTTCTCAGCGGTTTCATCAGCAACAAACCTATCCTCAGGGAGTCTGGTTTATGAAGACGACGATAGGGAAGAAGTAGATTAAAAGGAGAGGAGGGGGGAGTGTATGTAAGCCGTTAAAAGTCACTGTGTTACTCACTAATGCAGCTGCATTAACCCAGAAGGGCTAGCGCGGTGGGGAGGAAATACTACTCAGAGCTAATTGTGGGAACTGTACACATAATGAAACAATTGGTAGTGGAGAATGAGGGAGTGATTACACGTAGCACAGAGCCACGCTCAGTGGAGCACAGACCATTTTATCATCGCTTACAGACGTTCCAAACAAACAGTCTGAGTCGCCATTAGTAAACCCCCTTCTCAATAGTCTTCCTCAGTGGGAACAAATGTTTTGTTATATTTACCCCCGCCTGTTGCTAATGAACACACCAGGCAGCACAGTGCTGCACCGGTTGGTAGACTAACCCCAGCCATTCAAGAGTTATTTTTACCCTGGGTAAAGCATTCTCTATTATTTCAGGTATTTAGAAGAACTGGACAAAAACGGAGCTGGAGAGAGCATGATGTCAGGAGCTAAGTTTGGAAGACTCGCACAGAAGCTCATTTTTGCTCTCTGCAGTAAGGAGGCTTTGTGCGATGAATAGCTTTTAATCGGGTTTTTTTTTTTCCAAAGAAAAAGGCGCAACTTCAGGCCAGCAGCTTGTCAGTGGAAAGTTAGGCGCAGACTGTAATTTTGGTGCCACGCTGAAATCTACCTCCTTAATTTTGAAACGGTGCTGTCCAGGCTAGAGTTTCATTTGTGGCTGGGAGGATGTTGAACGTGGGGAGATGGAGCTCTGGTTATTGGTGGGAAATGATCATGTTGAGCCCAGGCCGGCTCGTGGTCCAGACCCTCATGAAAGAGGCAAAATAAACGCTAAATACATGTTTTTTACAGATGGGACAAAATAAGAGACTACCATGACACAGATGGTCTTCTGAGCTCTGACAAAGTGCGTTTTAGATATTAAACATCAGTCAAGAAAACATATGAAACTACAGAAATACAAATGAACTCAGATGTTTTAAACTGCATATCGTCTTTTTTTTTTTTACCTTTTCAAAGAAACTTTCATGCTTTCTCCCTGTGACCCCACCCTCCTGTGACTGCACGGATTAAGTGTCTGATGGTTAACAAGCCTGCCTGCGCTCTGCTTACACATGCGGCAGTGGCTCCCTCCACAGGAAATAAGTCAGAGCATGTGGCATGCAAGTTCGCAAACATGAGGCCCTGAAGACCGGATAGAGGGATGGGGAGGGGGAACAGAGGGTTGATGCATATTATATGAAGTCAATGGGTTGGGTGTGCATGCTGATACAGTGCTGATGATGGGAGAACCTGTATGAGACAGACGAGGAGTGTGAGAAGGGGGAAAGGTCAAGTAATGACATCATGTTGTGAGTGAAGCGTCTAAACATTAACGCTGTTTATTTTTCACATTTTCACCCATCCCCACAGACTGAGACAGATCTATTGTCCTTTTATTTACTGGTATTGTTATAAACTTCGCATTTTGACTCACAACGATAAAGTTCGTCATTGTCTTAGACCGGGTATTTTTTTTCTTTTTTTTAGCTAACAATGATAAAGTGAAAGGCTACAGATAGGACGATTGAACTGAAACATTGCTGAATTATGTCAAACAAGAATTTGGTTGAAACAACAATGGCCTTTCAAACTTCCACGGCATGAACATGCCAATCAACTGTGCTCTGAAGTTACAAAGAAAACAGAGCTTAAACAAACAACATTTAATGTCCACTTTTACTTGAGCTATCATCTTGCTGAGTGTTGGATATGTACTAATGCACAGGTTAATGATGAAGGTATTATAACATAGATACCGATATGTCGGTATTTGCATTTATAATCGGCCAGTAAATGAAAGCAAGTGACATGAGAAACACCCTTCAAACATGAGTGTTGATGTTGCACAGTTTGTCCATCAGAGGGCATGCTTCAACTTCCCTTTGCGCCCCATGTTTGGTGCGCACAACCAGCTGATCCACGCAGAGCCTGTCAGAGCGTAAACGAGTAATTTACTCAACTTGCTGAAACTGTAAAACAAGATTATTTTTCAACTGAATTGTGATATTATCTTAGTAAGCACTCTTAAATAACTGCAGAGATAATACATGTTAGGGAAACCTGCTTATGTTTTGTGTGTGTCTTCTCAAAGAAAGAAATATTGACTGGAGTTTTTAAATGATCAAATATCAATATCAGTCTCAAAAATGTGTCAGGGTTCTTTTAAGTGCACGATCACGGTTTTAAAATCACCCGTCCTGAATATTTAATGCTAGGGTCCATCAGGCTAATACTCAGTGTTAACAAAAGCCAGATGTTTATCTGTTAGTATTCAAAGCGACATCTGTAACATGTCGTTTTTCATCACTGAAAAGTTCGTGATCAGGTGGAATTGCATTAGCAGTACAACCCCAGTACCTGGGTGCATTTTACCCAGCTGCACCAAAAACATCCTTTCTTGTTTTTCAAACTTGAACTTACTTTTAACTTAACTGGAAAAAGATCTAAATTAAAAAAAAACAAAATAAATTATAATTTGATGAGTTTTGAATACTGGGAGATTTTCACAGTTAAATGAAAGAAATCAGCAGAGACATCGATATCACAGGGAGAAAGCCAAAAATGACCCATCGAGAAAGCACTCTGTGATAGTGAAAAAACAAATTTTGATAGATGGAAACCTGTGACCTGGGAAGCTTGGGTTAAACAGCTTTCTGCCTTGAATGTTTGGCCTGTTTGTGATCTTATATTTCTTATTTCCTCCCCCCAGATCCAATTACAGACCCTACAGAACTTCACTCTTCATCTGTGGTCATTACAGAAGGAGAAGACACACCTGGTGTTGCTTTAAAGGCTAATTCTACCACTGTTGTCACCGGTCATCCTCCATCTGTACCAACTACGGCCCATTTCGAAATTACAACACACGTTTTCAATGACCATATGAGTGTGCCTGTGCCTACAACTGAAGCCCTAGTCAATGAAACAGAAGCTCCCAATACACCTACCCAATACGCTGAATATACGTCTGAGGAGACCACATCGTCCACTGAGCAAGTACTCAGTGAGTCCCAAACAGACGACCTCACTGAGACAATGGGCCCTACTGGGACAGTGATCCCTGCTGACACAGAGGGCACTGCTGAGAGAGTGGGCCCTGTTGGGACAGAAACCACTGACCTGATCATTGAGGAGGACACAGAAGGTGAGGAAAGTGTGGGAGAAAGGAGAGGTCAGTTTGAATAGATATAATGGTGACACTTAATAAGTCTAACATACACTTAATAACCATTGCTGTTTAAATATATTAACTATGGATCTAAATGCACTAACTCTCATCTAACAGAGGCCCTGAGCTCTGGACAGATTGTGGGCATTGTAGTCGGCGCCCTGCTGGCAGTGGCTGTCATCACAGCAGTGGTGATTGTTGTCTTGAAGAGGATGGGCGAATACTCGTAAGTAACTCACTACCGCATGTACATAAGCACAAAGATTAAATCCATGGCAGTGTTACATAGATGTTGGGCACTGAGTCATCACTGAGCCATCCAAGAATGAAGTCACATAGGAAAGAAAAGGTGACTACGAATTCTCCCAAACCAGCATTTCAATCAAAATTGTTCCTGAGCACATGTGAACACAGACGTTCCTTCCTGAAAGTAAATCAAGTCCATATGAAGTGACAGTTTTCTGTCCCCTGTGAACATATGATGATAATTACTGCTAATAATGATGGCGAATTTTTGTGTCACAGGTCTGCAAGGAACAAAAAGCCTGGCAGAAAGCAGAGTGTTATGGTCTTTGTAAAGTTTTCTATTTTACCCCTTCAGCTAATCATTTTAACCCCTCACACACCTATTTACAGCCGTCTTTTTCCCAAGAGCTACTGACAAGGCTCCATAGTTGTTCCTCTGTCTGCTGACATAGAGTCCCATGCTTCTAGGTGGAAAATCCAGCATTCATGGTGACAAGTGGCCTTAAAATGAGCTTGTTTATTGACTTAGTATCGGTCTACATGGCCCATGGCCGTCAGCTAGAGGGGTTTTGTGTTAACAACTTGATTTGATCCCTAGAAACACAGGGGCTTTGTACATTAGAAACAGGGTTGCTAACCAGAGCAATCGCCATCTGTTTGTTTTTTTTAATAAGTTAACCAATAATCAGATTTTCTTTAGTTATTGTTCCGTTTGAAATGAAAAAAAACACAAAAAAACTTTTTCACAGAAATTGAAAATTGTGTATTTTTTTTAACTCATTCAACTTTTGAAGCTGCGTAATCTATGAATTATGCATAAAATCCAGCTTTGTTCACCATCTAATTTTACTTAACAAGTCCCCTGATGAATTAACTTTAAAATAATATAAACCCTAACTGCCAATCATATAAAAAAAATCTTTTCCATCTCTGACCGGATCTCTCTTTGTATCCCACAGACCTTGAGGAAAAACCCTACAAAGCAGCGGGACCGTGCGAAGTTCTGGAAATTCTGAACTACTGAACTGTGACGTCATTTCTGATTATTAAAAACAAGCACGCGATGCCAGAACTAAGCAAACCTAACCAGCTCTCTGGACTGTGTTAACAAAAGCGAGGGGCGAGGGGCACGGGGCACGGGGCACGGAGTGGGGAGGGTGGGGGGTTTATTTTTTTAATGTATATATTGCATGTATGTGAGACAAGAGGGGTACACGAGCCAAAATCCTCACCTGCCCCTGCAAACTTCCTGATCCCGAGGAGCTGTTAAAGAGAACAAAACAAGGTGACAACAGGATGTCAGGAAGAATTTCAGGCTTTTCAAATGCATTTTGTAGAAAAAAGACAAGACAGGGGTAAGTCCTCCACATAAGCGATTTAGTGACTGACTTAGATTAATACCAAGAAAGAAAAATGACATAAAAATTAGAAATACTTACAAATCAAAGACATAAGGAGGCTGGGATTAGGAAAGAAAACAAGAAATAATGTTGCCAATTTTGCTGGATGTATATACAGTGCTAGACAAAGACTATACTGCATTCAGTTACTCTCATATGTTGCACTCGCATAGGCTAGGCATTTAATATTATGGAATATGCAGTACACTATGTACAGGCAGCCTTAGGCTATTGTTGTGGCTAAAGCACCCACGAGCACCGGTATAGAGTATGCTGTCATGCAGCCCCTAATAGGTTGGCCAACTGGATGAAGCTTCTGGCCCTGGTGAGCTCTGAGGGTCATCAGACACGAAAAGACACCCCTCGTTTGCAAGAGTAACGTGACATTCTGCCCAGTTTAACACTTACATATAAAAACCTAATACATATCTGTGAAATTTAGCAGAAGGGTTTGTGCCACTGTCTCTGGTATTCTCTAGCTAGCTAAGAGGATTTTTTTATTTTTTTTTGGAAGTGCATTAAAAATGTGAATTGAATGTACTTTTAAACTGATACCCATTCCAAAACAAACAACTTGGCCCGTTGGCTTATAAAGGCTCGCACATTTGGTTATCAGACATAGCAGTGACATTGTCTTGACAGTGCTTCTGTTAATACCAGAACAGCCATCCAGTCTTTTCAGTTGACCTGACCCTAGATCACATGCATAGGATGACAATTTATAATTGAACTTTGTTTTAGTGCAAAGTGTTTGGCAGTTATGCCTTTTTTTTTTTTTTTTTTTGCAAGAGTGTGTCACATGGATGTACAAATAATGACGTCTCGGCTTACCCCTGCTTGCTTTAAAAACGTATTTAATATGTGCACTGAATGAGTGGTGTAATATTTAATGAACAAGCTTCAGACACTGCAAATGTTTGCAACGATACATGTCCCCCGTCCCACCCACCCCTTCTGCTTTGCTGCATATTATCACTTCTGAGTCTTTAATTTGTGCCGTCTGATTCGTTCAAAACGTTTATTTAATTGCAGTGCTTTTGGTCATACTGTTTCAATAAAAAAAATTTAAAACACAGTATTTTTTTGTACTAAATTATTCTCTAAAAGCTGCCCTTTGTCTTTGGAAAATATCTCTTTTCTGTTTATTGTCCCGTTCGGATCCTATCAGTTGCAGATGATCATATAGAGGGCTTGGAAACGCCTCCGAGTGAATTTACTCTTTATCAGAGCTTTATCCACTCTTAACTTGGAAAAATACTTGCGACAGTTAAAATCACATGACACTTATTTTCTGTTTCCACATTCAAAATGCCAACGTTATTAACGACCCTCCCCGGGGGCAGTGTCCAACTGCCCACTGTGATTGGCCCGTTCAAGTAATGCTTCAGATTTTCAAAAAGAAAAAAGAAAAAAACAGCCCCTATTAGCAAGCACACAAACAGAACCAAATATGGAGTACCATATGGCCTTGAATCATTGGGTCTGTTGAGCCCTCTGACAGTTAGGTGTGTTTTTTGTGCCGTGTTGCGGGGCTTTTCATACGGTGCTGTTAAGCTGGGGCAAGGCTCCAACAGTAGGCTGTGAGCCGCACAGAGATGCTCTGTCTCTGGCAACCTCTCCTCCGTGTGGTTTTAGGCAGCGGCCCAACACCCACCACCCCAGCCTCTGCCCCAACGGCTACTTCATAACTCTCTTTAGCTCACTCTCTTGCCTCAGACTTCTGGGAACAATGGAGTCTTTTGAGAAGGGCAAATGGAGACCCTATGGACTGTGGCTGTGAAGCTGCTCTCTTCTTCAGCAAGGGAGAATTCTGTACATCGCTACTAGGTGGAGTCACTTCCTGGGTGGGCCCCTGCCCTGATCATGTGCACTCACACACACAGAAAGAAATAACAGAGATCTAAATCACCAACTTTGTGCCGATGAACACATGTTAGAAGCATTATAACAGTCATCCAGCAGCAGAATGTCTCAGGGAAGGCAGCTGTTAAGATCACCAATCAAAGTGTGTCATTTACAGAGAGAGTCCAATTCAAAGTCATCATGACGCATGGTTGAAGCAGCACACGCAGGTCTGTGTATCATCCGACTGTTTGTATGGCGTGCAGGCATAAATGTGAGCTTTGTGTTTGTGTGGGTACACTGCGTGCGTCTGGACTGTACAGGTTTCATATATTAACCAAATCCAAGTAATGTGGTCATCAGATTTTAGTCACTACAAAAAGTCCCCCTCCCACTCCGCCTCCCCTTCCTGTACGCGTCTGGGGGGATAACTGAAAATCTGTCTGAGAGGAAGGAGGAAATCATTCGTCTCTAGCGGACAGATGGATACGGTGATATCTTTCTAACAGCCTAAACTTAAGACTGTTGGATGTGAGTTTGCTTTTGTGACAGCCAGATCACTCCCGATCACTCACAGCTGACTGTGAGCTGCCTGTTTTTGCGACGTAGTCCACAAAGGAGAAAACTGATTATCTTTATTATTTGTGGGATCATGTTTGGCTCGGTCAGCAAAATGTAATCCTAACAGGACAACTGAAGCACAGATGGTATAACAATAAAAGAATTTCTAAAAACAAACCTGAAAATCAGCACCAGGCTGATTCTGTTAGATTGGCTGTTTACAAGTGAAGCTGCTTACCTTATATGGCCCCAAAAGGTTGATTCTGTTCATCTGGACGTAGCGTTTTCAGTGGCAGAAGTGTTTCGTCACTCATTCTTCATTCAGTGGGCTGCTTTCAGTTATTGTGCAAATGTGCTGTTTTTAAGGTTGGGGAAACCTGCAGTCAGCTGAGACTCAAGAAGTCACTTGGATGAGTGACGAAACGTTTCTCCCACTGAAAACGCTACGTCCAGATGAACAGAATCAACATTTTGGGATTCACTTATCTAAATAGTTAAATAACACAGCACGCCACAGAAAAGGAAGGGAACTAATAAAAGTGTTTAGGTAACATTAATGAGATTTGACAGCTCTTCCTTTAATATAAAAGACTGTTAACGTATAACAGTTTGTTTGTTTTTTTAAAAAGATGTCACTATACTGTTTATAATTGCGGGCAGCATGGTGGTTAGCACGCTTGCCTTGCAGCAAAAAAGGTCCTGGGTTCAACTCCACCATCTACCTGGGGCCTTTCTGTGGGGAGTTTGCATGTTCTCCCCATGTCCGGGTGGGTTTTCTCCAGGTACTCCGGCTTCCTCCCACAGTCCAAAGACGTGAGTGTGAGCGGTTGTTGTCTCTCTGTATTAGCCTCTCACAGCTGGGATAGTCTCCAGCCCCCTGCTACCCTGAATTGGATAAGAGGAAGAAAATAGATGTTTATAATTGGTACTTACATGATACAGTCTTGCAGTAAAATGTGTTGTGGTAATGGTGCACAGGTTTCAGTTATCCTTACTGACCACTAAATTTTTACCAGTAGTTAGTTGAACTGGTTGGCTTGTGACCTACCTCTTGCCAAATGTCAGCTGAAACATGAGCGTACTCTCAGATAAGTGCCTGTGCATCTGCAGTGTTCATCTCTTGGAGTTGAATGAATACGATCCTACGGTTCACCAGTGTTCAGGGGTTTGTGATGTCATGAAAAAATGTCAGCCTATAGACCTTTGAGTGGCACTGACAGCTGGGCCCACAAGTGGGGGTGGAAAACTAAAGAGAGGGTGCTCAAAGTTGAGTGACATGCAGAAACAGTGTGTGTGTGTAGTCAGATATATTATGGATAATGCAGGAGAAAACTGAATTTGCTTTCACAAAGAGGTGGAGATAGTAGAGCAGGTAGAAGATTGATGCTGTATGTGCCTTTATGAGTTATATACGTGTGTACAGTGTCTATATATACACAGCATGCTCCTTGATGGGGTTTAGTGTGACCTCTGAATGTGTGTTTGCATGCAAAAGCAAATCGGGGCTGTGATTTTGAAGGGCACATGCTTTATATGGACTTTAGGGGATTATTAGCATGTAAGTGTGATGTGTGCAAGTACAAGATATAATACAGTGGGCTGGAGTTACATGCACATGTGTGCAGGATCAAGTTTTTACACACAGTTTGTACTTGTGTGTGACATTTACATATTCTTCACTGAACATCTGGCATGCCACAACACGAAGCAATAAAATTTTTATTTGGTCCGAGTGACGTGACATGTTGTCTGATTACAGGCAAGTCTTTGTCTGGGTGTGTGGCATGCATCTCCTATAAGAGACCCTTTATTGTTTTTGTACCAGTGTTCTGCTCAGTAATCTGTCTGATACATGAGAATGTTGTAGGACACGTCTTTCTCTTTCCTTCTTTGCCTTGTATGATGGTGAAGGTTTCATTGTGCACAGTGTTATTGGCACAAACTGGCTCCTGCTGCACAGGACACACTTTTCTTTAGTTTACTTTCTTAATCGCTCATCAAAAATATTAGCAAATGTTCAACCTTTTGACATAAAAAAATATTCTATTCTATTTTTTGACCATAAGAACTTAACACTCAACTTAACTTAATTTTCATACTCATCAGAGAATTTGCTGACCTGAGTTACCCCGTAGACAGAGGTGTTGTTATTGTGGAAAAAAGCTCACCTTATCGGGATAGAAATTTTTCCTTTTATAATCAGGACCACACTGTACAACTTTCATACGATTTATAGTACTCAAACATTCCCAACAGCATAACATAGCCAGTGGATGCCCTAACTTTAGGGTCATTGATTGATTGAAATTATCATCAATATGTCGGAGAAGATCCTGAGAGCGGTACAGCAGTGAGTGTCTGCAAAACTTGTTGGTGCTTCTGTCATTGTTTAAGGCTTAATTTCTGCCAGTGGTGTTGGTGATCTTGTCAAAATTGAAATTATGAACACAGAAAAGTACTGTCAGAGTTTGATCCACCATGGAATACAATGGCTTAATTTTTTTAGTATGACAATGATTCAAAACACACTACTAATCTAGTAAAAGCCTACCTGATAGAAAAACACACAGTCATGGATTGGTCTCACCACACCCCAGACCTAAACATTATTGAAGCAACGTGAGATCATCTTGACAGAGAACAGAACAAAAGACAGCATCAATCTAAAGAAGCCTGGAGAATTACTCATGAAAACTACTTACACAAATTACAAGAAAGCTTGTCTAAGAAAGTTCAGACAGAGTAGTTTTTGGTCATAACAAACACCAACTTTCAACATTGCTAGAATCATGCAAACTCTGTTTTTGGACAATATATACACTGTATTTCCTTCCATATATGTTTGCATTTTTAATGAACTGCTCCATCTATTTCCCAGTTTTCTTGCAAAATATCAAGAAATGAGGGATGGATCAAGACTTTTGCACAGTAAATTTAACAAAGACTAACAGAAAACTGTATTTAACAGTACAGGAAAAACAAAACATACAAAAGAAAATATTTTTCAATAATTTTATACTAGGATAATAGACTGGCTTACCTTATAGCTCACAAACTAGCTGTTACATTTACTATTGTCACATGAACTCATTTAAGTATCCCTGTTTTAAATACTGTCTCCAAGTTTAAACCAATGAATAGAGTCATGAAACATGTTTATCTTAAATGTATAAATTACAAAATCACTTCACAATTTAAATTATTTTTCTTCCCCGATAAAATGTCTGGAGTGAAGAAAGTATAAACTCAGGGATACAAAAGCAACTTTAAAAACACACTTTATCTTTGTGCAAGTCAGCACATAGAAGGGTTTTTTGTATAGTGTCACTGCAAAGATTTTCTATGTGTAAGCTAACATTTTTCCCTGAGTTAATAAAGCGATGATGTGACACTACAGCTTGATCACTCATTGTGTTCTACATTTTATGTGCTCATTTGCATTTTTATTTGCAAAGCTCCTCTCCACATTTCCAACTACTTAGCCATGTGTTTGACGTAACTTCCAGGCACTCAGCACCTGCTTAGACGATGACTTGACAGATGTGTCTGACCAGCAGACTCAATTGGAAACTTCTCATTATAATTCCACAGCTGGAATTGCCATCAGCTGTGAAAGGCACGCTGGAGCTCTGGGTAAGTTTCGCTATGACAAGCTATAAATAAACATCATCA